CTTGTACCTCCATTGACCTCACTCTCATGTAACTAAATCTTTGCATTACCAGAGGAGCTACTGCTCCTCTCGTCTTCCATAGTCTTAGACTCAGATAGGACGTTAAACCAATCAATCGATCAATTAATCAAAGTGTGCTGCCCAACACAATGATATCGTCATCATCCCAGGGTGATAAAATAATAAGATCTTGGAAGGAGTAAGTCAAGAGTAGTTGTTGGTGTGAAAGTTGGGTATCATAACCTACACGTCACTAAACGCCTCTGCTACAAGGAACCATGCCATGTTCAGTTCGCTTCCTGTCTTGCTCTTACGTCGCGAATCAACGCCTTCGCATCTTCGACCTCGAAGTTGTCCTGACATAACTCGTTCGCCAGCTCACTCGCCCTCTGATACATGCCGCGTTGATACTCGTATCGCGCCAACCATAGCCTTGCTTTGCTCGTTGTTGGTGTGACACCCACGCCTCCCCCGCCATCAGGGCCTACCTCGTCAACCTCAGGTCCCTCTTCCTGAGCGAGAACAAGCTCCATATATGCAGAGCATTCGGCCATGTTGCGAATGCGCTCGTAAAGAAGCGCGATCTGGTAGAGGACCTCTGGATCGAGTATGCCGCCGCCTAACGCTGCTTCGCCGCTGCCGAATGATGAACCTGCACCAGCATCGTAGTATGAGCCTGCCACCAGCGCGCGCTTGTAGGCGCGGATACCGTTCATGACCTTGCCCACCCTCCCAAAACACTGACCAACTGCCATCCATAGCTTGGGGTCGTATGGCCGTAAAGCAGCAGCGCGTTGGTGGTAGAAAAGAGCGTACGAATGCATTTCCAGCACCTCATACGTCTGTCCCAGACCGTACCAAGCGCGGTAATCCTTCCGATTTACGTCAACGGCACGTCGGTAGGATTCGATGGCGGCGTGGGTGTTCTTCATTTCGACAAATTCGTGGCCCATCAGTGTCCAGGCGGAGAGGAAGGCACGGTCTAGTGTGAGGGCGCGGCGGAAGTACATGACGGCTTTCTCGTGCTCTGACTTCACTGAGTAGTAGTTGCCAACTACACAACACGTCTCCGGCCGAAACTTGTCTGTCGCTGATGCTAACTGCGCCAGGAATGCAAGTTTCGGCCTCATCTCCATAACATATAAGATGTTAGAGTAGTGATCGAGATGGTCGAGACGGTGTGGGTCAGTGACGAGCAGATCTGAGAAAATGTGCTCGGCCTCGTCAAAGTCTTTGCTGTGGTAATGAAGTAGGGCACGCTGTGTCTTCAGGAAGGCTGATGTTGGGAAGATAGACATGATCTGTGTGAGAGAGTTATGTACCGACTCGCTGACCTGGTACAGCTCCTGCGAAGTGGTGACGTGGAAGATGAAGGACATCAGGTTGCGCGGCAGTTGTTGGGCAAGATCTTGAAGCTGAGGGACGTCAGTCAACCCCACTTTAGCATATATAGACATTCTCACCTCTTCGTTCGTGCCAAGCAGGGACGTGAGTTCCTGCCATGCGCCCCAATTATACGGATACTGCTGCACACTCTGTAGAAGGAAGTCGATTGCGAGCTTCTCGTTCTTCCCCCTGGCGAGCACAATGCCGTAGAGGTACTCCAGCCATCCATGGGGCTGCCGACCACTGCTAGGGAGGGCGGCGAACCACTGTTCAAGGACAGTGGATATACCAGGCAGCTCTTTGTTGAGCATGACACCGCCATCTTGTGGACCCAGAATCATCTCACTGTCTTCATTCATGCGCCTCTCGCCGACAATGTATTTGGCGTATAGCGCAAGGAAGAGCGACTTCTGACTCAGCCCTGCTACAATGTCGGCGGTCGAGGATGAGGCGGTCGATGTGCTGGCCCGCGCCTTACCCTTCGGCGCGCGCTTCGTTTCCGCAACGGGCGAGTAGGTCGCATGGACAGCGCCCTTGGGCAGTGGACCTGGGAGGAAGACGGCGGCGCATCGGTCGTATTCGCGGCAGTCGAAGTATGTCTTTGCGAGGAGGAACTTGTGTGCTTCTCGCGCTTCTAGTCGCTGCTCAGTAGCATCTTTAGTGATTGTGTTCGGTGTCTGCGGCGGTGTGTGGCCAGACATGGGCGAGTCGATATCGGTATCTGAGCCACCGTCGTGGGAGGTTGGAAGCGAGTTGAGCAGTTCTGCAGCCCTTGGTCAACATCAGTACGGTCAGTTTAATATGAACGAAGCTACAAGCAGCATACCATTTCGCAGAATTATAGAGGCAGCGCTCGGTACAAGACACTACGGCATCCTGCAGCTGCGCCTTCAGTTGCGCCTCTTCGGCCTGCGAGAGCGCACTCATGGTAAGTGAGTGCCTTGCGAATGTCGACTATGACCGCATCGAATTGGGTTGTCGGTGTTGGTAGCACGCGCCGTCGCGCCTGCCTGCCCCCAGACGAAATGTGGGGCAGCAACAAACAATGTCGGAAAATGTCACGCCGTCACCCCCGCGGAAATTTGGCCTTCACCGCCCTGTCCCACCATTGCCCCTCCTCCACCCCTGAGCCCGATCGTTGTTCGAAATTTGACTTGGAAGGTTACAAGCAATCGAGAATAAGCATGCCTACTACATTGAAGGAGTTTGAGAGCGTCTGGCCGCGCATTGTGGCCGACCTCCAGGACCACTGCAAAGGCTACAAGCTTCCCCAGCAGTCTCTTGATTGGTTCACCAAGGTACTTTCCTGAACAATGCTTCCAGGAAGTCACATGCTCACCAACCACCCAGTCTCTCGACTACAACACAGTCGGTGGAAAATGCAACCGTGGTATGTCAGTTATCGACACTGTCTCCATCCTCCGCAATGAGATTCTGGACCCCAAGTCTGAGGAGTACTTCCGCCCTGCTCTGCTTGGCTGGATGATCGAGCTGCTGCAGGCCTTCTTCCTCGTCTCGGACGACATCATGGACTCCTCCAAGACCCGCCGTGGCAACCCCTGCTGGTACCTTGCACCCAAGGTTGGCATGATTGCCATCAACGATGCCTTCATGCTCGAGGCCTCCATCTACCTGCTGTTGAAGAAGCACTTCCGCCAAGAGAAGAGCTACATCGACATGGTTGAGCTGTTCCACGAAGTCACTTTCCAGACTGAGTGCGGCCAGCTGTGTGATCTCCTCACTGCTCCCGAGGATGATGTCAACCTCGACAACTTCAGCCTCGAGAAGTTCACTTTCATTGTCATCTACAAGACCGCGTACTACTCCTTCTACCTCTCGGTTGCATTGGCCCTCCACTACAACGGAAACGCAACACCAAAGAATCTTCAGATCGCACACGACATCCTGATCCCTATGGGCGAGTACTTCCAGGCCCAGGACGACTATCTTGATGCTTTCGCCGACCCAAAGACTCTTGGCAAGATCGGCACTGACATCCAGGACAACAAATGCTCGTGGCTTGTCAACCAGGCGTTGAAGAAGGTCACACCGGAACAGCGCAAGATTCTCGAGGAAAACTACGGCCAGAAGGACTCTGAGAAGGAAGCCAAGGTAAAGGCACTGTACCACGAGCTTGAGCTGCAGAAGTTCTATGAGCAGTGGGAAGAGGAGCGTGTTGCTGAGATCAGATCGAGGATCGAGAAGGTCGATGAGAGCGAAGGCCTGAGGAAGGAGGTCTTTGAGGCTTTCCTTAAGAAGATCTACAAGCGCAGCAAATAAGCGTCGTTTTACAACAGGTAACCACGGAACATAGCGCTATAATACCGCGCCAAATACCCATATGTTTTCAAACGATATCCGAACAACAGCACTGGTGCCCCATGGCGCCCATGTAGCACTGCAGCATTTAGCGATGGTTTCGAAAATCGTAATGATCGGGCACACAACTCTACTGACACATCATCCGGCAATCAGGGTCGATTCAATCCGCAGTCTACGACTCAGATCACTGCTCTTACAGCACTAGATCTAAAGACACAGCAATCACCCTTCGTCGAACAGGTGTCACTGACTCCGGCGTGAAGTCGGTCTAGCATTCACTTCCGTTGACATACATAAAAGCTCACCTGTGCTCACAAGCTGCTGAGCCGAACCACAGCAACTGCGTCACCAGACACCGATCCACGATCACTCTTTCTGACTTACACTTCACACGAACAACATCTTTACAAGCATCAATGTACGGGCCGTACGACCACTCGAGCTACCATGAAGCCCATCGTCCATTGGACATGGCCGACCTTCGTCAAATGTCATATGACGATCTGCGAGCATTATTTCGACTCCTTTCAGGCCTCGTCAGCGGAGCTGATTCTACTCCCCACACTCGCGCAATATTTGAGACCATGAACCACATTTGGGAAATCACTCAAGGTACACGATTGGGCCCTGAATATGGCGAATTTGATCTCTACGGCGGCCATCACTTTCAGGGAACATCAAGTGCAACTATAGAAAACGTCCAGCTCATCAGCAGAGATCAGTCATCAGCTGGGACTCCGCCTCCACCCCACCGTAGCCGGCACAGGCAATCGCCTGGTCCAACTCGCCGGGATGCTTCCTGGGTTGCTCAGGGTGGATTGCCAGATACGCATCGCCTCAACGCTCGCACCCGCCCACACAGCTGGCCGAGTTCCTTCGTGCGGGTGTGGTCGACCGCTGAATTACGCGGCGTTCTTACAGAGCTAGGATATGGCGTAAGAGACGTGAACCTTCACGGGACCAGGCGTAATATTGAGGACGAGCTCGAGATGCGTGACCGCGATCCGGCGAGAGAGGCCAGAGTCGTTACTGAGTTCGTTCACGCAGCCCCTGTTCTACTACCGCAGCAACAAGACGTACACGTATACCCTCCAACACGCCGGGAAATCCATGTTCATCCTTCGCAGCCGCAGCGTGTGGATGTTTATGAGCCCAGGAGACAGGTGGATATACATCATCATCAGCTTCTTCCAAGAATTGTGCATCACCATTACCCATCTCCCTCAGCGCAGACCTACATCCAACGGGCTGGCGCCCCTCAGGCATACGAACGGCCTGCTCCGCAGGCTGAAGACGTTGAGTTCAGGGCAAGGAGGAGGACTCAAGGTAAGAATGAAAGGAAGAAAGGTAATAGGGGTGATAGCAGTGACGAGGACTACTGAGTAGGCGGGCCTTTATGCTCAGTGGTTGTGTGGAGATAATTCAGAACTGCATCCGGTGATTACGAGGTGTTGTAAACCCAGCTTGGAATAGTAATCTAGACACAATGCCAATGCCCATGAGCTGTTTCCTCAAACTCTGTTGCCAATGCTGATGTTGACTTAGTAGAATACAGTCGGTAGTCGATAATCGTCAAGACGTGCGTAAATCTTTCAGCCAAAAGTCGAATTATTGGAGGACATAAGTGAGACTATCAAAGCACCGAATTGCTGCATGTCTGGTGTCTCTTTTCATGTGATACTGTCTTAAGTAGGCGGGTCAGATTAGGGGCGTGCTTGCTTCGTTATCTGTCACGGTTCAGGGTGCTCCTGCCTGTCGAGCCTCACCTGCCATGAGAGTGACTGCCACGTCACACTAGCGTTGTTTGCAGCTACTCACCTATACATACTGTCCGTAGCTTCACACAATACAACCTCAGTTCAATCCTTCAATTCTTCCCACAGCGTACTGATCACTCACGATCCACGCCCCGACATTATCGCTCTTCCTTGCTATGGACCAACCCTTCCCACCTCTCATTACGAAACTTCAATGACAACTCGATTGATTCAACGTTCAACGTCAGTTTCAATATGATAGCTTCGCGAATTTACACGTTACACCTTGTCATACGGAACCGTGGGTTCGGCCTTTCTGCAGCCAGAATATACTGCTTAGTCACAGTGAGCACACACCGAAACATTTTACCTATGTATGGCGCACATCACACGTTTGACCAAGCTGGCTACGCGGCACAACCTATCATAGTCTCATTCTAAGACTTTACCAAGCTTGCTCCAGTGACGTGAAGGGCACCTGCACGAAGCGCCAATGCCGCCTTGCAGTCACGCCGGTCTTCATAACCTACCTGGTCAAGCTGATCTTGGAGGACTTTGCTGTGAGTGGGCAACGATGTATTCTCGCTAGGCCAGTATAAATATCGCCGTCCCCGTCGTCCGTTCCAGTCCATCACACTTTTTCGTCTCTGTCTCCACACACGATACAGCATAACAGACCAATTCTACTACAACAAGACTCTACCAAGCTAACAGAATAACACGGCATCGATTTGTGTTTGCCAGCGTTCTGCTGTTCTGGTTGGCCAGCTAATTAGGTTAGGTCTCCCGCACTTCGCACCATGTAGATATTCATCCTCCCATAGTACTCAATCGACACATCATCCACCTCATATCATCAGTGTGTCTCATACCCTTCGTACCCATCTCACCGGTCTTTGTCGCCGAACGCCGCAGGTGGCGCTCATACGTCGACTTGTTCCCTCCTGTCCGAGTCGAATGGACCAGATACGACGTGAAAGATCGCGACATCGATGTACTGCATGGTGCTTACATGGAGGCTTTAGAACTGAACAGCCGTAGCGAGGCCGTGGAGCGAGAGTTCGAACATGATCGCGACAGTATTGCGGGAGCAGGGGTGAGATATTGACCAGGAAACTTTCGAATTGGTGCGGACTCAGAGGAAAGAGTGACCACAACTCCTCCTTCATGGTCATGCGCGTGAGGAGTAGCACGTCTATCGGCAAGATGAGGTGCATATTCACGAACAGCCAGCTGAAGAATATCACATCCATCAGCAGACTCAGAACACGGTCCATCTTCACCAACCAAATCGTCAAGTAGATATACACACAGCGCCTTTCAGTCAAGGGCATGCAGCAATGGGGCAGGCTGGCCATGCCTATTCTGCGCATAAGTCGATCGAGCAGAAGAAGGGTAGGAAGAAGATGGCCAGGGTAAAAGCAAAAGCCGCAGGCAAGTATCTTCGCAAGAAGAATATGAGTCTGAGGAGAGCGACCGCAGGCAGAAGACAAGCAGAGCGCAGAGCAAGAGCAAGAGTCGACGATATGAATCTGAAGAAGATAGTTCTGAATCCGACCACATCGCTCGAAAACCCAGCAAATGAAAAGTAAGAGCAAGAGCAGACATCGTGCGCCTCCATCAGATGACGGGGACGATTCCCAGTCAGAGTCTGCCGACCGCGAGCTGTCCAAGACGCCAAAAAGGAGCAAGAGTAAGCATCGCGAGCCATCATACAGCGAATCCGAGTGCGAGTCGCAATCCAGTGACGAGCGTCTAAAGCCAAAGAAGCCAACCACTGCACCGCCGAACCAGAGGCTCATCGACAACACGGCGTACAGTGAGGTTGAGGGCTTCGAGGGCGACTACGCCTTGGCCTCAGACCTCGACTTCGCGGACTGACGAGAGCGATGTGGGTGAGCAGGTGAGGAAGTGTCAGGGATCGTGAGTGATCCGTACGCATGTGGGAAGAATTGCAGGATTGAACTGAGGTTGTATTGTGTGAAGCTACGGACAGTACATATAGGTGAGTAGCTGTAAACAACGCTAGTGTGACGTGGCAGTCACTCTCATGGCAGGTGAGGTTCGACAGGCAGGAGCACCCTGAACCGTGACAGGAAGGCTTGGGGTGGTGGGAAGAAGGGCAAGGGAAGGAAAAGAGGGAGGGTGAGACTGTGAGGAGATAGTCGAAAAGAAGTATAGATGAGTGGTTCTTGCATCGAGGAGATACTAGCGAGTCAGATAAGCTGTAAGAATGGAACACCTTCAAAACTAGATCCTCGGTAGAGTTCAGGAGACTATGAGGATTCGAACTTATAGTCAAATATCAGGTATCAGTGTCGGAAATGAGAGCGTACGCTTCTACACTTTTTTTGTTAGAAAGTGAGGTCTGAAGTAAGTCAGTTTACCGTCAGAGCTCCAAAACACAAGAATCGTAAAATGCAATAATGGAGAAAGTGCGAAGGAAACGAAAGCCCGGAGGCCTCTCAATGGATAACAGTATGATAGTATGGCTTGAATGCAATAAGTATATACACTAAAGAAATGCCTATGTACCGGCTATGCTAAACATAATCATTCAGGAGATATCAACCCATCTAAGCAGCATTTGCCGCAGCCAAGATAACATCCGCAGCCTTCTCAGCAACCATGTACGTGCTCACAGCAGTGAAAGTACCCGGAATGCGGGGGAAAACCGACGCATCAACGACACGAAGGCCCTTAGTGCCACGAACGTTGAAGCTGCTGTCAAGCACGGCCATGTTGTCGTCATCAGCACCAATAGGGCACGTAGACGAAGCGTGGTGGCCCCACGCGCTGTTCTTGATGTAGTCCGCAATCTCCTCAGGAGTGTCGACATCCTTACCCGGGAGGACCTCAGTAACGGGAACGACCTGGCGCTTGAACGCATCACGGGTAAGCGCGATAGCCTCAGTCATGGCAGTGAGGTCCTTCTGGTACTCGCCCACACCGGTGTCGAAGTAGTTGTACGTGATAGCAGGAACATCAAGCGGGTCCGCGGACTGCAGGGTAACGGTACCAGCAGTGTTCCTCGGGTGCGCCTTGAGGATAGCCCAGGAGAAGAGGTTGTGCACGGCGGTCGCGTTGACGCTGTAGTTGGGGAAGTAACCGCGGAAGTTGACAGGGCCGCCGAAGGCGAAGATGTCCCAGTTGTTCTTCTCGGCGACGCTGGACTGGTAGAACATGGTGGCACCGAGACCGGGGGAGGCGTAGATGCCGCGGTTGCCAAGAATGGGGGTGTTGTAGCGCCCGATGCAGGCGTCGGCGGAGTCGCCCTTGAAGGTGCAGCCGTTAAGGGCGGAGAAGTCGTTCTCAACCTTGCCCTGGACGCTGATCTCGTAGTGGTCCTGGAGGTTGGTTCCGACACCGGGAAGGTCAACAACGACGGGGATGGAGTGCTTCTTTAGCTCATCTGCAGGACCGACACCGGAAAGTTTGAGGAGCTGGGGAGAGTTGTAAGTTCCACCAGCAACAATAATTTCGCGGGAGGCCTTGGCGGAACCGGCAGTACCCTTTGCGCCAGTGTTCTTAGGGCTGGCCTTGTAGAGGTATTGGCCGTCGAGGAACTCGACACCGGTCGCACGGGGAGGAGTGACAGTCTCGTCGAAGGTGATCTTGGTGACGTGCGCGTTCAGTCTTACGTCGAGGGGGTACATCTTGGTGCCGTTTGTGTACTGGGTTCAATTAGCTGACTACCTCCAGGCTCGCCTTTGTTGTGGTCACTCACCTTGGCATCGCGGACAGCGACTACGAACTCACGGGAACCAGTACGCTTACCGTCGGAAGTACTCAGGGGGATCTGGAACAGGCCAGGGTCAGAGTCACGCGCGTCGGTATCAGCGTTGGCATCGCCTGCAACGAGTGTGGCCAGGTTAACAACGGCGTTTGTCTTGTTTCCAAGAGCGAAAGCAGCGCCTCCGACCAAGCTCAGAAGCTGAGGATCGCTGGTGACGATGTCGATAGGTGCGTACTGTGTGCCCAACCAGCCGTTGTAGCCGTGTCCCTCGATAGCAGTGAGGTAAGCGTTCTTCTCGAGCTTGACGAAGTACTTGCGCATGTTGTCAGGGGCCCAAGAAGAATCGCCAGTGAGGTTTGCAATGTACTCGAAGTCGGACTGGTGCGGGTAGACAGCGATGAGAGCGTTGTGCGCTGTGCAACCTCCCAGAGTACCAGTCCTAGGGTAAAGTGTACCCTTCTGGACAGAGCCCGCAGGAGGGGAGAGACCTGTGTATTCGCCACCATCAAGTGTGGTGTATGAAGTCTTGAAGTCGCGAGCTTGCCTCTCCTCGTCGGCGTAATGCTTAACGAAGAAGTTCCAGGCCAGGTTGGGGTCCTCTGAGACCTTCGCGTTGAAGGAAGGTACAGTGTAGTTCTGGTTGGCGGCCTGGTCATCACCAGCTTCGATCAGAAGTGTCTTGTGGCCGGCAAGGGCGAGACGAGCCGCCAGGGGGCCGCCACCTAGACCAATTGTCAACACTTTGGATACCCCAGGAGGTCTTCAGTGAGTTCAACTTACCAGCACCGCTTCCAACAACGACATATTCGTACCCGGTAAGCTCGACGGCCTTTGCGAGCGAGATGGAGGCCGCAGCCACAACAAATTGACGGAACAGCATGGTGATTATTAGTAACGAGAGTGATTGTAGAGAGGGTCTATGATCATTAGCGACTGTGTCGATGAAACACAGCTATAGTAGAGGACCTACAAATGAGTGAACACCTGCTGAATCTACGGCTGGAGGTATCCAATGTCTTTATACTACCCCTTCACGACCCTACGGATGTTGCATTGCTCTAGATTAGAACCCTGTTCATTTTTACTCTGCTCGGTCAATAGTCGCTAGGTGCATGTAGTTACTCGCTGTACAAGGCGTGCGGTACTGGTTCCTGTTCCGTGTAACAAGCCGAAGCAAACAACTTTTGTCCATGCCAATGATCGACACGGCATCGTGTGGATATACTCCGCTGTCCAGGGTGCCCTTGAAGGGGCAATATCCGAGGTCGAATGACTAGGCGGACGATGTTCGCATTCCAGATGTTTGGTAGAAGAACAAGGTGCTGCACATCTCCATTGGCACAAAACCTAGTAAACTTGTTGACGAAGGACCAATACGAGGCTCAGAATGTAGAAAACTTGCGATGGTGACGCTCAAGTTTAGATTGCATGTTCCAGAGGGTCCACGGTTGGTGCGCACGGTCGTTATGCTCAAAACAGCCGTTCCCTAATTTCGATCCGTCCCCGCGGGTATTCGGGGGCTAGAAGGAGGGTGTCGCCTCATCGAGACTGGTAACTCGGAATTCTTGCAATGTTTGTAGACCTCGACCGTCGTTTTCATTTCGAAATTCTCAAGTCCTTCGTTCCGACCCATAACGTCTGGGGAAGGCGGCTCAACGTGTAACGGTTTGTAGTGGCGCAGCGAATGCGCACCGCTGCCCTCCTAGGACAGAAGAGGTAACGGTGCTTGGACCTGCAGGACTGTGATGGTGCCATTATTTGTTCCTGATATTGCTTGTCCACAAAGCGCACATGATCTGCGCTGTCAAATGATCCTCTTACTCCTTTTGAATGTTGACAAATCTAACAATTAGGTCTAGCGACTGCGCAACCTTCTTCTCGACCAAGATTCACGACTCGATCACATTGGCGCGTTATCGATGTGCGGTTGATCAAAATGCATTTGGTGTAGTGGTCTGGGTGGGTTACGACAACGCCCTCGTGGCCTCCCTAGTGGCCCTGTCGCCGTTTGCCGCTCAATGCCGTATCTGTCACCAGGTGGAGAACCACAGGGCTCGTTCAGTATTACTTGTTGACGATCTCGTTGTGAAAGTGAAGAAAGTTGTAGTTCGCAATGATATGGAGCAGGGTATAGGTGCCAAAAGAGAAATAGGTCGAGAGGTACACCTATCTGTTGCCGAGGTAAGGCGGCGCTAGCGAGTGGATGACCTTGCGGCTGGCGACTTCCACGGACGAGATCCACTTCACAGTAACGATACTGCTGCCAGTTTTTCAAGGCGCAAACTGCCGACGACAGGTGCGTTCGCCACATCACAATACAACAGTACAGATCACAGGCCACGTTCGATCGCATCCGCCAACGGCAAATGCCGGGAGTTATAATGGACCCCAAATAAATGACAGTTGTGATTGACATGTCCGTCGTGCTGCAGAGTGAGGGTGTCAATGTTGGGAGATGTGAACGTTCAACACTTCTGGATCTGCATCAAGGCAAGTTGGCAGTGCCTTGACTTCTCAGCAATGTCTCATGCGTGCTCCTGGTCAGACACACAAAGAAACCAGCAAGTACTTTACTATCAACTATCACCAAGCAGCGTACGATCAAGATGGTTCGCATAACATGGCGTCCCGGCATGCCCCTAGACATACCTAATATCCGCCTACCGGACGACCACTTTTACACATATACAACCGAGGACCTTCAGGCGTTCGTTTGAGCAGCAGCTGAGTTCGTCCAACGGCATGAGTTATCTGATTCATGTGATGATGAGTATTTTGAAAAAGTGGCCAGGATGTTGAAAAATGCACAGAAACATCTTGCTGAACGACCAGCTTCGAGCAGTGTCGCTATCATAGATGACGGCCAACTTGCTGTTCACACAGTATATGCCGGGCGGTCTTCGCAAGTCACACACATATTCATACCATCGCAAGAACCGCAGGTCATCTATGATACGTATCAATATAAATGCTCTCAGTATCAGCACGTCAACCTCATTGCTAACCATTCACCAATAGCTTATCCACAGCCAGGCATGCTAACAGAAATTCCTGAGATAGGCGACGGATTAAAGGAACAAGACGAGAAAGAGCAGTGAGGATGAAGGGTCAACAGATGGAGAAGAAAAGCGGAGAAGGGAAAAAGAAATAAACTCGGCATTCCCAAAGGAAAGAACATGAAGGATGACGAAAAGCCATATGCCATGGGTCTGATAAGGAGGATCGTGACGATCGCCGGACACATTCGAGGAGGAAGACAAAAGGTTCAAAGAAGGAACGAAGTCAGACAAGGGACCCACCTCACCGCCGACAGGAGAATCATAAAAACCGAACATGTCACAAGCATAATTGTCAGTCCGTACTTTCACTACATCCTGTTCTCAGAGCCTCTGCGCCTTCCATATATGAGTTAGCGCCCACTCGCTTCACTGTGTAGATAAACACCACCATAGGTAGTACTAATCCACACGATTCTGCCCTTTGAGAATAATGAGTCGGAAGACGGAGAACAATCCGACCGAGACCAACAACGCAGCAGAACGAAAAAAGCGAGAAAAGAGTCGCCGCCACAGTCAGGCTAATAATGACCGTGATCACGAGTCTTCACGCAGGAGTCCGCACTGCAACGAAAACAGGAATGAAGGCAAGGGCAAAGGTAGGGCTAGGTCGGAGAGTGCACGCAACAATCGCACGCGTGAGCGACAAGGCCGTAAAAACCCTCAAGATGACAGGAAGAAGTTCGATCGAGATGCAAGCCCACATCCCCGCCAGTCTTCGTCATCTAGACCAGAGAAGGGGCAGTCTAGCCACAACGATGATCAGCGTAAACAGCAACCTACTCAGAACGCCGACGATAAACAGTCCGGCTCAGCACAATCAGTCCTGTTCAACCCCTACGACGCCCCCGGCGTCGAACATTACTCCCCTGCAGGTACCTTTAGAATGATCGCTAACGCCCTCGCACTACAGTTCCATCCCGACAAGCAAAAGGGTAAGTCCGAAGCTGAGGTCAAGCATGCTCATAATTGCACGATAGGGGTCAACACAGCTAAGGAGAACTTGCTGGATGAGCAAAGGAAAGTAGTGTAGGATGCCGATAGTGTACTGGATGCGGAGTTCGAGGAGTGGTTGGTTACGCAAGGAGTTGGGAAGCCACGAAACACGATATAAGATTGATTCCCGGAGTCGTCTGTAGAAATATCGCGATGGCCTCAAGAAGGCAGAGTTCAGGCTTGCTCGAGACGAATCATGCGTGTTCGGATTGTCTATGTCACTCTACGTGCACGTACAACCGCCATCCTTTCTACAATGCAAGCCTTGTTGAGTGGATAACGAGCCACCAGAATGCCAGTGCGACTACCAATATGACAGTATCGAAGCACCGTTGCATGCATATCAAGTGCAGATATACAAAAATGCCCCAATCTTGCTTCCGCTGGGCAGTGTTCTTTCTCCACACCATCCTCTTCCATGGGAATAGAAGGATCGATGCAGCCGGGTTCGGGAGCTCTTCTTCCTAGACCCAATGCTCGTACGGACCCCGTGCAAGATCAGCTACAGCGTCTTCCCACTCAATTGTGTCATCTTTGGCAAGGTTTGGCACATCGATGATGAGGCGTCGAACGTCCAGTGTGGCGTTCTTCCAGACCGCTGTGTACACCATGAGAAGAGCCAGCCTGAAGAATAGAGAAGCATATAGGCATCTTCAGCTTGTTCTATCTCCCTGGAACGCCAGAGTAAGGCTCTCGAGGTGAAGTTTGAAGAGCGGAACAAGATAGAGGTGTGCCTGGGCGGCTTCCGAGACGGCAGCATCTCCTAGGAACGACCGGTCGACGTGCATGCCTTCCAAGGTATGGATAGTCAGATGGCGCAGAAGTCTGTATGACTGGACCTTTGGCATCGATAGCTGCAACTGAACGCCTTTGATGCGCAGACAATCGTGCTCGACATCCTTAAGATGCAGTCGAAGCAGAAGACTACAAGTCTGCTCCATCTCCCTGTGAATTTGTCGACATGACCTGTATAGCCCACGAAAGGCACAAAACGGCGCCGAGTTCAGTATGGCCATGTGGCTGTATCTCCCGTTGCCTAGGTCGAGAGGTAAATCGAGGAAGCGCATCGTGAAGGCGCCGATGCTGCTACGGGCTTATGATCAGGCTCAAGCACTGCTGGTCGGAAAGAGATGATGGTGCAATCAAGCGGGCACTTGTAGTGTGGCAATGTGATTCGGCGTCGAGTGATGATGTATTTGCGTGAGAGAAGTCAGAGATGCGCAAGGTCGTGGAGTCTTAGGTGAGGTGAGGTTTAGACAATCTCGTCATGTTTGGAGGGCTGCGAAGGTAAGCGCTGGTATTCAATAATATCCGGCTTCTTGCTCATGCTGTGTCGAAGCTTCCGCGCGCTGACCTTGCGGTAGTGAGGATGAAGTTAGGAAGCTGCCAGCCTACTCAGTAACCCGACGACCCTTCACCAGCACCGCTCATGCCAACCGCTAGGTCTTCCCTAACCCTCGAGATCGCATCTTCCTCCACATGGTCCACAACTTTATCATCGCTCTTCTCGCTATCGTTACCCTCGTCGCCGCCAGTCACGTTGCCCGAATTCTCATCCTGACCCTCTTCGTTGTCCGACTCGTCGGTCGACTCGCCATCATCCATCTTATCATCGCGCGGATCGCGACCAAGCTCAGGCTTCTTCTTACGCTCGAAGTCCTGAGCGTGCGCGTCGCGGAAGATATCACCAACGTGTGTAAAGGCGCGCTGCAAAGGTGAAGGGCGAATCTCGCCTTCGGCCTGCGGGAAACCGCGACGCTGCCTTGCAGATGAGCGAGAGCGTTCGAGATCTGCTCCAGTTGCGGAAGTCGTTGGGGTCAGACCGTTCGGCGGTGCGGTAGCAGACTTGCGCTTTCGGGCTGGCTGCTCCTCATCGACCCTGTCACCCCGTTGATCCGCAGCGCGCAATTGGGTCTCAGGACTCGATGGGATTTCGTAGGGTAGAGGAACGTCTCGACTCGCTCGGAAGCGACCGACATTTGTGCAGTGTTCGTTCTCCACGCGGAATACCGACCATATGCCTCTTCTGAAGATCTCGCCAAGTGCAGCAACAAATGAAGTCTTGGCTGAGTGCTGCAGTTGGAGCGGATCAACGATATAAAGGACCCAGTTGAACCGCAAGATCGGATCAATCACCATAGCTGTGTAGTACCACCATACCTTCTTATAGCCAAGCTCTTTGCGCAGGAATGGATGCCTTGCGTGAGGATCACCAAGACTCCAATCGTAGTAGATATCCCAGAAGCTTGTGTAGATGGCGTTGATGATAGCGAAAGTAACGAATGCCGCCTTGTTCGGACCGGTCTTGTTGATGCGATAGATGCTCAACGTCATGTAATAGATGATAGTTGCAAAGTATTTGCCACAGTTGAGAAGGTGAGGGAACTTGTTGCCTGTATCCCAGTATCTGCGTATACATTGCAGGGCACGCCAGATGCCTGGCAAGCAGGAGAGGAAGCCCATCGTGCGCAAATGTGATGAGTTGCATTGGGCAGGATCGTCCCAGAAGCGAGCGTAGAGACAGAAGAACAATGCCATGTTCTAGATAAGGTCAGAGAGAGCATGAGGGTAGGTTCATGTGTACTTACACTCATACTGTACGTGAGCGAGCAAAACATGTCGCCGAGGTAGAAGTCTCGCCATTCGACAGGATAGATACCGGCAAGGAGAAGACGCCACTGGTGAATGTTAGCGCGTTCACAACAAGATCGCATACAAACTTACCAAAGAATACAACAGCCACATTCGACTCCTGTAGTAGAAGACCCTGATAGGGTTGACGAGCACAAGAACAGAGACACCAATCAAGATGACCGGCCAGTACAGGTACAAAGCTTCGCCGCCGACTTGGTGAAAGTTTAACTGCATAGTCAGGCCAAGAAAGAGGAAGTACCAACAGGGCAGCTGTCTGATGTTAGCCAGCACTCAACCTAACACGGTGAACTACACGGACCTCAGCAAGCTGCCTCCAGTCCAAAAAGTGACGGGTATCATATTCGAAGATAAAGACGAAGTTGATCTTGTGTTCATGCCATACACGACAGGCGAGAGAGAAGAGAAGTATCAAGAGGTTGATGAGAAAGAAGCCAGCATAGATCTGCTCATGTTAGCTTTGCATAGATGATATCTCGCTGCGCGCTCACCTGTAGCAAGTAGCTGGTGTTGACAGACAGCGCGGGATCGTCGGGATGGTATGCGTCGGCTAGACTGGATGCTTTGATAAGGCCTTGAATGCTCAGGCTGGCGCCTGCAGACAAGAGAAGTCCGTTGCGGAACGTGTTGTCGGTGTAGTCACCCGCGCGTGCAATCTTGATGCGAAGCTTGCCGACAGCGACTTTGTGGTTGCCTCGTTCGAAGTATCTAGCATAGAGATCTTCTACTGATCGGATGTGGCCTTCGATGACGTCGCTGTTCACGAACCATGCTTTGTTGACTTTGTCATTCATGTACCGCATCGATGGCCTTGCATGTACGGTCTTATCGTACTTTTTGTTGATCTTGCGGAACGCAGTGCGGTTCAGCAGGGCGTATGACTTGAGCAACTCCAGACCACGGTAGTATTCCTGGAGAGCCACCTTTAGCTTTCGCTTCGCTGACTGGTAAGGCACGTCCGGCAGCTCTGGCCGACGGGCAAAGTCACGACGGTCGTCGGTGTTCAGCATAGGCTTGAACACCGAGGGGGTTGCCAGCGCGGTCATGGCCTTTGTACTGCTACCGTACTTTCCTGCGCTGACTGCCTCGAGCGCCGCGTCTATTGGGTTCAGCCAGGAATGGCTCATTTGGTGGCCTTTCAGCTTGTGCTCCTGCGCATTCTCGTCGTTGGAGCTGTACGCTTGACCGTCTACCTCTGTGCCGGGCGCAGCGCGTTTCTCAGCCGCCTTGTGCTTCAGCTTTGCCGTCTGACGCCTGACGAGCTCGTCCAGCCGACGATCTCTCATGATGTGTAGCTGGTCTCGAAGCACGTTCAACCGATTGGTAGACTCGTCTTCTTTCTCCTTGTAGAATTGCTCGACTTTTTCCAGCTCTGAATCCAGGAACTGGAAGAACTCTGCCTGGCGGAAGTCGAGCTCGCGGTAGGCCTGGAGGGGCACATCGCCAGGGCTAGGCTCCGGATCCTGCGCGCCCATAGACATGACGCGCTCGACGAACGGTCGCGGGTGAGGCTCCACACCCGAGCCATGACCGGGCATTGAGGCCATGCGCTTCGGACTGAAGATGCTTCTGTATCGTGCTGGCAGCGAGGCATGCTTTTTGTGTGGCGACCGCGTCTTTCCAACTTCAAAGGCGTTGCCGTTGCTGGGCGAGGGCAGCTTCACCGTCTTGTGCGCTTGGAGAGGCGCTGCTGCAGGACCCACGCCCGGCGAGGCATGCTCAGGGTCCAATGCAGCGCCCGGCAGTTGCAAAGAGGGCGGTGGTCGCCCTCTCTCCGAGCTGGCATCCTTCCCGCCTGGTGGGCTGCCCACAAAGCTGCCATAGCTTGCGCCCAGCCCATTGTATCCGTCTTCGCCGTGCGCCAAGGGTGTCTCCTCCGGTGTGCGTGGCAGGTGGGACGAGTACGTGCGGCTGCGGCTGCCATTGGGTCTGATCGAACGACTTTGGCTGGCGTCTGGCACGTCGGTCGGGCCGTTCGCGTCGTTCGCGTCGTTCGCGTCGTTCGCATCACGTCCGAAGTTGTCGCGATTCAGAAAGGAGTATCTCGGGGCGACGTTGGGAGGGCCGGGCAGAGTGTTCGTGCCACGTCGGCGAAGGCGTGGTGTCTGGTTCACGTTCCGAAGTGCGCGGCTGATGGCTTTGAGTTTCTTTTTCCCGAGCTGGTCCAACAATTAACCAGCGCGCCCTCGGCGTGGGGCAGAGCCAGAGTCCTCATTGCGCACCTTATAGTGGAGATACTTGAGTCGCCATTCAGGCACAAGATCGCGCTCGATCTCCCTGGCTCTGTTAGTTGCGTCCAGCCGCGATTGTTGGGTAGGGCGGTTTACTTCGCGAATTTCATGCTAGCGCTGCGGACGCGTCAAGAACGAAGGTTAGGGTAGCAATGCGCAACACGCGGAGCTCTGCAAAGACATGGGGGACTCGAGAAGATGCTCAAGGGATGCTCAAGGGGCACTGCGAATCCTCCACGGGCTGTGCAGGAGGAGTTCGGTGCAACGCTTCACGCATAGGGTCTGCACAGCATAGGATGGCAGTGACAAGTTAGTCGCACTAATCGCACCAGTGGGTCCTCGGCCGGCAGTTGCTGGTTGGCAATCAAACGTCATCGTTTCGTGACGTTTCCTTCGTCAATCACCGCCGTCTCCGTCCAAGCAGATATACTTAACCTTGTGTCTGCTCAGAGTCGTGACGGCCACTATAAGAAAAGAAAGACATCACGGCGAAGAAGTGACTTCGAGCAGAGCAAGGAAGGTATTGCCTTCGCTCGTTTGTCATTCATTGTCGTTGTATCGTGCATCTACGTTCTATGCGCAGGGCATGGCGTTTACCAGCCACGGCGCTCAAATCGCTCAGGGCGGCCGTACTGGTTGGGGTCGTACTGGTCAGCACCGTGGTTGTCGATGTACTGCTCGTCGTACATGCGCTCCGCGTGCTCCTTAGCCTGGCGCTTGGCCTTCTCCTTGTCGAACCAGTCCTCGCCCTTGGTCTCTGCGAGCTGTCGACCTCAGTCAGCGTACGTTCACTACAATGGTACAAGGGGTGGACTGACCTTGTCGACCTCAGCGGCAGCGAAGCCAGCAACGAGCTCCTTTGCGAAAGCGTGCGAGACAGGCTTGCCTGGGTTATCTGTTAGTCTATGTCCACTGTAGTGGTACGTGAGGGTGACCAACCCTCGTTGCGCTGGTGGTCCTCGAACGCCTTGAAGCCAGCGAAAGCAGCACCTCCGGCTACAAGCTCATGGCTGAAGCTGGACTTGTTCTCCTCGAAGTTGTCATTGTTGTAGACCTGCTCGTAGCTGTCCTCGCCGCGGTCTGTGATCAATATCAGCACAGCTCATTCGAAGAACAGAGGTAGGGAAAACATACCCCAGAAACCCATTGTGAATGTGTGGTTGGTCTGAAAGGTGGTGAAGAAGGGGTAAGTGTGGTAGGAGGGGCGTAGAGCTTGTGAGTGTGAGTGTGAGTGTGAATGTGTGAATGGAAGTCAATGCCGGGCAGGACGATGACCTTAAGTAGCTGTAGCTTCTCGTACTCCACCATCCTCAAACGGAATGTCCGCTGCCATCCTTCGTCATCTAGGGCCCAGCTTTAGCAACACGGCGAATGGATCCAAACATGCCCCTCTCTTCTCGAATTGGATCAGCCATCCAGGGTCTATAAGTGGCTCAGCTGCGACACTTCCTGCAAATGACGGGCCCTTATGATGCAGTACGGAGTCGTCTAATGTCGCCATTGGATCGCTGCTCGGCCAGCTCGTCGGTTGGAACGGACGCAGCATCAACAGCACCTTGGTGGGGCCTAGACGTGTGCGTAATGAGCCTGCGGCCGGACTGTTCCCCGGCTTCTGCGCACTTAAGCTAGCCAAGCTTTCCTTGGTAAAGCTTTGCCATCGACGCCGTCTGTCTCTGGGGCTCAATACGAAGATGCATCGCAGCTGAAAGCTGTGGCGGTGCAGTCGAGATGCTTTGATTTGTACTGCAGTATTTCTAAGCTCGCTCTCGAGCTTTGGAGCCCTTCATGTCTTTTCCAGGGCTGGAGGCTGTCAACATGGCTCCTTCCAAGCTTTTCTGATCGCTTGGCCGAGCGATCTCCCGCATCCCTCCACCACCTGCGTCAGACCCGGTGGACCCCTCCAACATGCTTGCAACAACGCATAACCCGCCGCAGCCATGCCAGGGCGACTGCCCACGAAGGCCGACTTCCCGTCCTCGGTGAACCTGAGCGTCACGCCCGGTACGTCAGAATCCACATTTTGAGGTGATGCAAAAACCTGCATAACAGCAGCATAATAGCAGCATAACAAGTCAGCATTACAGCTAATTGACACAGCACCATCCGCTCAGCAACCCACCAACATCCTCATCCTCCTGCACGGCCTCGGTGACACGAATGCCTCCTTCACGCGATTAGGGCAACAGCTTAATTTACCTGAGACAGCATGCATCGCCGTACAAGCACCTGCTCCGCTGCCCTTCGACCTCGGTGGCTTCCACTGGGGTGACGACATGATCTTCGACCAAAATATGGGGGAGATGGACATGGACACAGGCTTCAAGGCGTCCACACGGCTAGTTCTTGACAAGGTCGTTCGTGAGGGCCTGGTGGGCAAGTGCGGCTACAGGCCCCGTGAGATCGTCATTTTCGGTTTCGGGCAGGGAGGCATGGTCAGCCTACAAGCTGCTGCAGAGCTTGAAGGCGAGGAACTTGGCGGTGTTGTCAGCATTGGCGGCAAACTCTCCTCTTCGCTGTCGTTGAAGACAAAAAAGAGCAGAACCCCGGTCCTGATCTGCCGGGCATCAAGAGCATCGGCGGTCACGGACAGTGCTGTCTCGAAGCTGAAAGACGCTTTCGAGTTTGTCGAGATCAAGGACTGGAAGAAGAACGGCGACGGTATGCCGAGCAACCGCGACGAGATGCTGCCCATCATGCAATTCTTCGCTCACAGATTGAGGAGCACCAAGGGCGTACCAGCTGGGAGTGTCGAGCTCAACTGAGCAAACTCAGTCAAGCTACAGTATAGATACATGCACGACAGTTCAAGCGGCGTGTCTCCTCAGTGTTGGATGGATTCTGCTATGTCATGTCTGCCGTCCCTGCTATACATTTCAGAGTTAAGATACAAAGTATAAAGCTGAACACCGCAATCCTGACAACAGCGTCACACGTACCAAGACGGTACTCCCCTTAATGTACAACCGTTGATAAGCTACACAAGACTGCTTCACAATCAAAGACGGCTTTTCCAGATGAATACGCACGTGCCAAGTGATCAGAGCTTACGTCATCGTCTTGGGCTGCATCTGTACACGTGCCTTCATATTGAACAAACATCAACTCACAATGGCAGCACCAAGGAACTCATTGCGTGGCTTTCTCACGCATGCGAAGAGTGCTTTGCGCTCCGCTATCAGCTCGAACCAGAAGGTCACTCTGGTCATTGGCAATGAGTCCGCCGGTCAGCACCTCATATGCATTATGAAAGCATTTGGAGCTGACAGGTGATAGATCTCGACTCGATGACTTGTCAGATTTTATACGCTTATGTTCGCTCTATGGCACCGCCGAAGAATGCTTTCACGCCTCTATACTTACCCGTGACCAACATACCAGCTTCTGGCATCAGCATGAGGCCCGAGTTCCTAGCAGTGTTCAAACATGCAAACATCGAGCCGGCACATCTGATCACACTCGATGACCTCCCGGCACTTTCAGAGATCCAGGCTAGGCTAAAGCCTGAAAACACTAAGTGGATTTTGGTAGACCACAATGCACTCCAAGGCCAGCTTGGCAAGATCTACTCCAGTCGTGTGCAGGGTGTCATTGACCATCATGACGACGAAGGGAGGGTACCCAAAAACACGGGCGATGAGCCTCGCATCATCGAAAAGAGTGGAAGTTGCACAAGCCTGATCACAGACTACATCCGACCCACGTGGGACATGTTGTCGGGCTCTGCCCTGTCTTCGGGCGCTGCCCACGCCCAAGGCGACAGTATGTCGGACGACGATGCCGTTGTCAAACAATGGGATGCAAGTGTTGCCCAATTGGCATTGGCGAGTATCCTCATCGATACATCGAATCTTCAGGACAAGAACAAGACTACCGATCATGACCGCAAGGCTGTTGAATATCTCGAGACAAAGATTTTGCTTTGCCCCCAGCTGGTAACGAGCTTTGACCGCACAGCGTTCTATGAAGCCATCGACGCAGCGAAGAAGGACATAGGACCGCTAAAACTACAAGACATACTACAAAAGGACTATAAGGAATGGGACCAGGATGACGGTCAGAAGCTCGGTATCAGCTCAATCGTCAAGCCTATCTCTTTTCTGAAAAACAAAGCCGACGAAGAAGCATCCTCATCCTCACCCAAAGCTTTCCTCGAGCAGTTGCAATCCTTCGCAAAAGACCACAGCCTCGACTTATACAGCATCATGACCACATCAACCTCTCAAGGTGGAGACTTCCAGCGCGAGCTCCTCGTTTGGGCCTTCAACGACAAGGCTGCATCTTGGGCGAGGTCCTTCGCGGAGAACTCGCGGGAGGAACTTGGGCTCGAAGACTGGGATGGAGACGAGGACGTGGCGAGTAGCGAGGGCCACGGGCAGTGGAGAAGAGTATGGTGGCAGCGACAAGTGCAACATAGTCGAAAACGTGTCGCGCCGTTGCTGAGGCAAGCTCACAGTTGACTTGACCAGTACACTGCCACAGAGCGCAAGAGTCAACTGTAGCAAGCGTTGGGTATGTTTGGTGGACTTGGGCCGTCTCGTGACACCATGTGTTGTGCGCCAGCAGCCGCCCAAGGATCAAGCCAGATGTTGTCCGGGTTTCTGGACTGGCGGTGTCGTCGCACATGGGAGATGCAGGTGGTAGTCAAGTTATCCCGGTCTAGCCTATCTGAGCATAGCGTGTATACAACGCATGATAACAACTCTCCTCGAAAAACGACCATGCAACCCAACGTAACATTCTGCGATGCATCGAGCAACGGCGCGATGTCTGCTCGTATCGAAAGGCACGAGCGTCTCGACTGGCTCCAGAAACAACATCTGCAGTAGAAAGCCGTTCGCCCACTTCACTGGCTTGCATCTGCAGTCGCAATTTCACACCAGCAAATCCCAAGATGTATAACCCGAGCACCTCCTTGCTACCAAATACCGACCACCAATAGCGAAAGATGAGGTTTCGTGACAGCAAAACCGTGCATATGCGTCCATCTGCTTAAGGGGTGCCAGCACATCAAGCGCAAGTCTCGCGTAGCAGTGACACCTATGGGGACCCCGGTCAAGGCAGCTCAGCAAGAGCGAGCCCACACAGTTGCGCGCACGTCACGAGGTCGAGACTCTCGACTGCAGCGGCGCGAGAAAAGCGACTGGAGGAGATGCGCTGCTTTGCTGCAGAGAGAAACATCGCGCTGCAGCGTGTTTGAGACGAGGACCATGTGCTATGGGTGGTGTGCTATATGCGAGCTAGATGGGGGCTAGAGGGGTCGCAGAGGGGGCCGGCGGGAGCGAGGCGAGAGGGCGCCAAAAAACGTTGAAATAACACGCGAGGCTGCCGATCTACCACAAATGTGCTGTTGATGAGGTTCGAGGGGTTCCTTGTGTTTCAAGCACCTGAAAGGACAGTTCGCTGTTCTTGCAGCTAGGACCAGCTCTCGCCGCTACTGCTGGTGAGGTATCTGGCGGGCTGCAGTGTGATGCATGGCAGAGCTGCTGTGGCCCCGCGATGATGCAGCCTGATTGGCCTGCAAGCTCCAGTGATGTGTGCTGGTCCTGCAAGTCATGGCGGTCACTCAGCAGCGCTGCTGAAAGGGCTCTGGCGGTGTATTGTTGCCACCAGTCTGCGTGAACAACGACGCGAACATATTCCTCCACTGCCGGAGCTGCTCCTGCTCACCCTCGCCGCTCCTCCCCTCGCTTCCCGTTCTGTGGCCAGCGCTGTTGGCTGGTGTTGTTGTTGCGCAAGCTCACTGACTCGAGTCCATCCAATCACCGTGGCCCGCGACTATCGACAACGGCGGGTGCTTGAAGCAGATCAGACTGACAGCGCATCCGCTCCTCGACAGCCGCGTCGCGGTGGAGAGACGCGCCCAAAGTAGCCTCCGAGTCTCCCAAGCCCGCATGCCTCATCTGGCAATGCGGTAGAGCACCGTATACCTCTTGAGCTGTTGTTGTATGTCGACATCGAGTAGGCCCATGCTGCCTCATGGCGACGACAACATGCTGCGGCACACCCCTCCCCGTACGTGAGCGTTTCCTACTGTAGCTGCTCATCTCCTGTGCCTGTGCCTGTGCCCGCTGCTCCTGACCCGGTGTTATTATGCCCAATCTGCGACAACCTGGCGCGCATCAGTGGCTCTGTACGATGAGCTGGCACTGGAACGACTTGACTCTGCCCTACCGCGACTGACACGACTACTGACGCTCTCCCAGCCAAGTCGCCCGCCGTCCCCCATGTGTCGACTGTGGCCAAGGTGTCGTCCCGCGCCCACACGCCGCAACAACCTACAACTGTGAGCGACGAGCCGCCTGCAGAGGCTCCCAGGTCCTCTCCTGTCCCCAGGTCGCCGTCGCCGTGCCTGCTCTCTCGCAAGCACGACCCGTCCCCCGCGACCATGAGCATGGGGCCACGGCCTGGCGCTCACGAACACAACCACAATGGCCTGCAGCGTCCACACATAGCCTCTTCCATATCTGCCCCCGCAGGAAAACTACCACGACTGCTCCCCGCCGACCTCTCTGCCTACAGCGATGCCCTCCTCCCCACCGCCGCCATACCCACCTCTGCCACCTCGCTCGCCGAGCTCGCCCATCTGATCCGCCTGCAGGGCTACCAGGAGCAGCGCAAAGCCCACTCGCGCATCCGCCTGCACCGTTGGCTGGTCTCGAGCGCCCTCTCCGCACGTCTGGTACACTGCGGGGAGCTGGCATACCGCACGCTCGTCGACAACTTCCGCTCCGACGACAAGAAGAACTTCGCTTCGCTGTACAATGCCCTCAACGACGTGCGCAACTCGTGCGACGCAAGCCGGCAATACGCCCTCTTGGAGCCGGACCTGGGATTTGGAAAGGCCAAGAGCGCCCCCAAGAGCGACAAGGCCTCGCTTTCTTTCTCTACGTTTCTCAATGATGTCCCGTCCAAGATCTTGGACGACCTTCTCGATTTCATTTCCGAAGTCCGCACCAATCCTGATTTCCTTGCTGCAAGGATTGCGAGCCTGTCTCAGCAAGAACTTGCTTCTCTTTCGTCGTTTCGTCAAGCGCTTGATCCTGTTGAGTCTGTTATTGCTATTACTGGAGCGCGGGGCAAGAACCCTGCTGCGAGCAAGCCCACGCAAAATGGCCCCAGTCCGGTGGAGAGGCTGCTGAGCTTCCAGCGACATGATCCTCTTGCGGCACTTATCTACACCATCTTTGCCAATTCCTCTGGACCGGACTCCGCTGAAGACTTGCGCCGCACTGATGTTTGGGCGACTACATGCGCCCAGATGATCAAGGAGAACAAAGCTGGAACGGACAGGTTCGTCAAGACAGTCCTTGATGTATGGGCTGGTATGCGAGAGTGGCCTGGAAAAGCCAACTTGGAGCTCTACCTGATGCAGGCCTTGCAAGATGGCCAGTTCCTGCTGGAGAAAGCCGAGGACCAACCTACGCGACAAGGCCAGCCGGCACCGCGGAGCACCAAGGACACCATTGCCGCTGATGAGTTCTTCGACAAGGCTGTGAAGCGCCTGTTCGAGGTCGTGGACGATGAGCCGAGCGCCGGAGGCATACCAGAAGGTGTTCTTGAAATCGGAAACGCCATTCTCCGCAAACTAGATGACGAGAGGGGTATCCGTAGAGGAGCGCAGAGTTTCTTCGTTTCGCGTTGGCTGTTCACCACTTATCTGATGAACGCTATCATCCATCCCGAGGCATGTCTATCTCAGGCAGAATTTCTCAAATGTTGGGCTAACGAATGTAGACACATGGCATCATGATCCAGCACCACATCAGCGAACACGCCCGCCAGAAGATCCTCAAGGAAATCGCAGTCCGCGCACAAAAGCATGTTTTGGACCTGACCTACAATTGGTACGAGCTTTCCTTCGGTGTTCGCCTTTTCCAGGAAGCTAACTTTTGTGATAGGAAGCAACAAGTGCCTGTTCTTCCGGAAATCCGTACTCACATTGAAAGCATAATAGCCAGGTTCAAGCACACAAAGACGTATTCCAAGCCCATTCTCCTACCGGCCAAAGCGATTACATCCCCTCGAGAAACCGTGGAAGTACAACCGTTCATTGTGCTCTGCCCGTCGGACATCATAACTTTGGTCAACACGCTCTTCCCGGAGCGACGCCCGTCGTCAAGCCACCTGAGCAAGGACGCTGAACGCCGAGGTGGAATCGCTTCGTCTGCGTCGTCCATGTCTGGAGTGTCAATGCCATTCCGTAGCGCTTCTGCTACCGCGACTGACGCAAGCTCCATCTTGAGTGCAAGTGCGTCATCCATGACTAGCGACACTACGTCCAGGGAGCCCCTTCTGGACATTGGTAACATTGACCGCAATCTACCACTGGGAGAAGCATACGCCGAGTCCAAGATTGCGCCTAGCGAGAGCTATGGGCGACACCTGAGGATGGCCTGCTCTGAGATGTCACGTATCTTGGGTATCGATGCCACCTCTGGCTCATGCCACCCTTGCAAGGAGCGCTGGGCTGTGTTGTACATCTCTGCTGACGGCAAGCAACTGAAGCATCGTATGCGAAAAGACTCTGACGATGAAGATGAGCACGATGAGGACTCGCATGATACTGACAGCAGCGACGATGAGGGCTCGGGGGCAATTGATCTTGAAAACGACTACCACCAGTTGAAGGAGGCCATCGCTAAGCTGGTCGAGGAGTACGAAATACCGAAGGAGCTGTCCCCCGACAGCGAGTCAAAGAGCTTCAGCAATCGCATGACTACTCGCAAGGGAGGGAGAGGCCATGGCCTGGGCCGAGTCGCCAGCGAGACCTTTGGGTCTCGCAATCCTTACAGTCAGCCTCAGCCTCAGACGCAAAGTCAGCTCACCAACCTGATTGCAAGCCAACGTAATGTCCCCGCGCGCCACCGCTCGCCACAGAATCCAAGAAGCAACAGCAACCCACAGAACCCGAACGAAAGACAGGAGGGCAACTCAGTATTGGTTACAATGCTCGAGTCAGCTATGCTTCAATGTCAGGCTCGCTCGGACTTCGTTAACGCGCTCATGTACCACAAGACATTAGCGAGTCTGCGTAGGCTCAGTTCACCCACACTCGTCAAGAACGGATATGCTGCACTACTCAACTACTTCTCGCGTGGTCCACGCGATTCTCTCAGCAAGGCTGCCAACGCAATCGAAGAGTTCGAAGCATGGTTTGTCTGGCTGAAGCAATCTCAAGAGAGATCTGACGGCATGATCGAAGAGATGATGGTCGGTTTTAAGAATCTGCGAGACAAGATGTGGTACATCAGCGATGTCCGAGGATCGAAAGAATACGATGAGGCCAAGAACGTCGCCCTTGCTCTTAAGATCATGGGTCAACCGAGGAAGACACTCGATGGCAAGCCATTGCAGACACCGCGCTCCCGCAACTACTCCAAGTCGTCCTCGAACAACTTCGCACTGAGGAACGAGGCCCAGCTCGTTGATGTTATGGCTGCTTCACAGGACTTCGGTGGACCGAACAAGCTCTCGGACGAACAGTCTGAGATCACTTTGAAGTGGATCAATCAATACGGGATTGAGAATTTTTGTAAAGGCGAGGAGCGCATTCATCGCTTCTGCCTTGAGATCGACAAGTGTGTCAACAAAATTGTTGCCGACAACCTGATGGAAGGCCCTACGCTCTGGGCCAGCGACCTGTACAAACGCGACCAGCAGATCTTAGATAGTGGCCGCCAAAAGGGAGATCTCTTCCTTACCGGCGTTGGCACGCTATCTGTTGCTGGCGACGAGGAGTACGAAACACACGGCCGACCCGGCTCACGGAACCTTGACTTTGCACAGCGCCCAAGCCACAGCAGTCTGCGCTCGGTCGCCAACCGCAATGTGTCGGGTCACAGCTTCGATCAGAGTCCTTGGGGTACCAGTCCCATCGAGTCTCACGATTACTTTGGTGGTTCGTCGCCAATCATGGCTATCGACGCGGCTACAACGTTTTGGTCGCCATTCCAGACACAGGCTCAGTCGCCGACCAGCGCTGCCAGCATCCGACCGCGCACCGCTTCGTCGTCCAAGGGCACAGTAATGCTGAAGCAGTCGGCAAGCGTCAACGAGGAGAAGCGCCGCTTCCTGCTTGACCTCAAACAAACACTGACCGGATTGCTTCTGAGCGATCTCGGAACCATGGTCTTTGCCAATGGAAGTGAGACTGATTCTTGGTTCGGCGGTGACATTCTGGAAGACTGCATTCAGCGCAGAGACGAAGAGGAACGCAAGCGCAAGAAACAGCTTGCCAAGAAGAAGAGCATGAAGGGTTTGCGAAAGCAGGCTCATATCGACCAGCGCAATGTGCCACTCGATACCCTTGGGAGGACCGAGAGAGGCCAAGCTGCACCACCTGTTGCGACTTTCCAACATGCTGCGGGCTCTGACGCGCATCACTCGGCGGGCGAACACTCTTCAACATCGAGCGATGCTACTTCCCACTCGGCTGGCATCACTGCTGCGAAGAAAGCTGGTCTGCTTGAGTTCCCATACAATGTGGCATTCCGACGCCTGCTCAGCAAATTCGCAACGCACCCTAACCCCTACTCGAAGTTGCACGCGCTCTACGAGCTCGAACTCCTCATTATCGCCTCCCTCTCATCCCGCTCCGGCCGCTCCTACAACAACCGCCGCGACACACTGCCGGCAGTCCCCCAATCCCCCACCCTTGGCGCTGTCCCCGAATTCAGCTCCCGCGAACCCGCGACCCAGCACTCTCGCGCCCAGAACCTCGAGGAAGCAATTGCCCACTGCTCCGAGCGCCGCGCTCACACCATGTCCGGTGATCGCGCCTCACCAGTACCCCATCGCAGCGGCGCTCGCTCCCCCGTCGGCCCACCCAGCACCGACATGATCGTCGAAGTCATCCAAGGCCTCCTTCGTGACACCGACATCCGCCCCAAATCCCTCTTCCGCGACCTGCAGTACATCGCCTCCTTTGTGCCCGCGCAGATGCTCGACAAGACGGAGCGCGGCAAAGCGTTCTGGGACGTCGGACTCGCAGCCCTAGGACTGAAACAAGACGTATGCCGGATCATGGTGGAGCTCGTGGACGAAGTCATCAATGCCTCAAACTCAACCCGCAACGCCGCCGTCCAACAACAAAGCACCTCCACCGAAAAGTCCAGTGGGGACAGAATGACCACACCCATCCTGGAGCCCACATCGCGCTACAACATGGAAGACGCAGCGCGCATGCTGCTCATCACGGCCAAAGAAGGTGACGCCGTCGCCGAGCGCGAGCTCGCTATCTTTTACCTCACGAGCCCCGAACTGCTGCACCGTGCTGTGCTGCCGCTTACGAAGCCGAGCGAGGTGTTCAAGACGGAGTTGCTGAATCGCGAGAGGAAGGCGAGTCAGGACCCGGCAAGGAGTGATCCGATGACGATGTGTGTTGCGCAGCATTGGATGGAGCAGAGTATGAAGGGGGGTGATGGGCTGGCCGCTAAATACCTGCGCCAGCGCTCAGAACTGGAGAGCATACCATCGCGGGCGTGAGAAGTGTTGGTTTGAGTTTATACCCCGTTATATTTGTTGTTGTTGCGTTGTGCGTGCGCTGTTGGATGATCTGCATGCATAGCGAGGTGTTTTCTGTTTCTGTTTCTGGTTTGGCGTTTTGGTTGCATAAGCATAATTCCCCCTTAGCTTGTTGTCGGGCTCGTAATGTTAGTGTGGCAGATGGGACTGACAGGTACACGATGAAGATGGTTCATGAAGGACGGACATGTCACGGAAGAGTTGCATGAAGGATGGTGATGTGAATATGGACGGAGCTCGGCTGGTAACGAATCTCCTAGTACACGTGTGGGCTAGTATCTGAGTATCTGATAGTCATGAGCATTCTTGAGATACCACATAGGGTAGATTTAGGCAATGAAATATATGCGCAAAGCGCATGTTGTAACCTTCAGTGACTACGTTCCCGCATTGGCGGGTTCAAAATCGTCCAATTACTCGAGGAGCGCTGTTCATTCAAAACTGTCATTTTCGTCATGAGGTGTGGTGCGACAGGTCACATGGCTTCGGTCAATATCATCAAGCCACGAGCAGAAGACAGGAGCAGCACGCAAAAAAGCTGTGCCTTGGCTGTTGGGCTGCAATGAAGGAGAGGCCTGCCGCAGGCTTGGCTCTGAGGCAGGCAAGGGCTGCAGGCCTCCTTCTGACAAGCGAGGTTAAATCTAGTGGGGTCAGAGAGGCCGGCAAGGCAGGGCCGCTTTAGCCCATTGCGTCAATTCACTAGTGTTGTCCAATTAGGGTAGACTACGACCTTACTGTTCTCTGTTTAACCCTGACCCTAATGGTGACCTTGGACAGGAGCTCAGAGCCTGTCGGGTATGGTACGCTGGCAGGAACGTATACCTTGAGGTTGACGGTGACGTTCCCATGGGCGGATATCACCTCTCGAATGGTTGTTTCCATCCACGGAGTCATTCTTATGGATTGATGTCGTGCCGGCGATACCTTGGATGTCGAGTTCGTTGGCGTAGGTCAAGAAGCGGACCAAGCTCATCTGGTCGTCAGGCTTGTTGCTCATGTCTCTCGCGACGAAGACACGGTGCTTGTGGTCGTAGCAACTCGTCTCGCATTGTCGTGTGCCGTCTGAGGTTTGCGCAAAGACTGAAGTCGCCAGTGAGAGACTGGAAAAATGTAGGAACCTCATTGTAGGAAGGATAGATTTGAGCCCTCTATGCGTTGTACCCCATTGTATGCCTCCAGGCACATTACTTATACTGATGAGGATCACCGTTCAGCTGAATCCTAATTACCTTGTGGAAAAAATCTTCATGCTCCTATCCTTGATCGTTCATTCCGTCTGACCAGCTTTTGTGGAAGTGGCTTGCGATGCATCGGTGTGCTTGGAACGGTTTGCCCTCCCACACGTTCGACTGTGCTATGTGCGTATGGATCGAGATCACGGCGAAGATAACCCATGGGCAGTTTGGTGAGGAGAAATCCCTCTTCCGGTTAAAGAAGACCACGACCCTTTTTTGGACGGTTTCCCAGGTTTTGTATCTCTGTCAGCAATCCACCGTAATCGTGATTGTATATATCTTGTTAGATGGCCTTGTTCAGGTCCAGGATACTAGACACAACTCATCATTGACAACTTTCCAGGGCGGAGGACCATCTAGCACCCGCTTTGGGGTCGAATGAATACACATAGCAGATTGCGGCCTTTCGTACCAGCGACACATGGAGTTGATGGCTTCAGGTAGTTCTGCACTATTGCTCTTGTCAATACAGCATGTATCGGCCCAAGCCCATAGGATACTGTGTCCGGCAGCTTTGCGACAGGCCTGATCGATTTTGTCGTAACTCTTCATTCCTTGACATTGAGTTCCAATGTAGTCTTGGTATGGCACCTCTTCTTCGCCCCAGGTGTGGGATAGAACCGCGTAGATAGGTGGTTCACCAAAAAAATTCCTTGAGTTCTCGATTTCTTGGTATTGATGAGTCGCATAGTGCCGCGACGGAGCGAACCTGTGAAATACATACAAGGTAGATAGAAGTGCCTAGCTGTGTGATGGAGGGAGGTGTGAGCATGAGCTAAGGAAACAGCCCTCGCGGCGGGAAGCGATAATGCAGCCAACATCATAGGCCCCTTAGCCTCGCGGCTATAATCAAGATGATTGTAAGTATTTTTTTCAGTATTGAAGCTGATTATATCATGCTCATACTAGCGTAATGTCTTCGATGGTCGGATTGGTATCCATAAACTCCCCATCCATGATGCTGTGAACATATGCTTCACCGATCAATGTCCATGTTCTTTGCGCGCTCGGGCGAATGATGTACGGCACTCGCACCCCCATTAAAATTGCAATCACATCTCCTGGCTGGCTCTCTTTTGGGCATAGTCCAACATACCCTGTCCGAGAGAAGAAGGGTCGACTGTCGTACATGCGCCTGAATCGGTCGATAAAGCATGCGTATGGACGTGTGTCATCTGTAAAGACCTCAAACATTGTACCGGTGTTGTTCCAGCCGTACTCGGTTTTTGCATGCTCTAACCCAACTTTCATGTGTGAGTCTGCCGGCGCGCGAACGTATTCACTCTTAAGGTCGTCAGAGTGGCCATCTCCAATGGGTATACGCCATTCGGCATGTGCTTTTTGCTCTGGTGTATATTGCTTACTTTTGGACAGATATGCTGTAATGTCACAGAAGTAGGGTCGAAGGGTAACCAAGAAGCTCCTGTCAGGTATTTCATCGACATTGAGATGGAAACAGTGTCCTGCTTCCCCGATAGTATCGACCATCACTCCACGAAGAGCTAGGGATGGTGAATGTCGGCCTATGGAGCTCATGTCCATTACTGTTAGACGTCCGTTGAAGCACCCGCAAGCACTGAATGACCAGTCTGTTCGGTTGAAGAGCGACCATGGTGTCCGCATCGGCGCAGCCCAGTCAGGCACCCAAGATGGCAGTCCCAGGGTTCGTCTCTCAGATCGACACAGGGACAAGATGTCATCGTGTCCGTGCTCCAGTAGAGCGCGAGCGGTCACGGTATATGCCTGGGCGCAAGAGAGGCTGTAGTCCGGAACGATCTCTGCCGCAGCCTCACCACTGGCTACCCCCAAGAGGGCATAAACTCGATCGATATCTTGAGTAGCATCCATTACACCTTCTTGTGGGTTGTTGCGGACGTTGATCTGGTCCAGGTAATGGCGCAGGTTGTGTCCAGGGCTGACAAGACACTTCATTCGAAGATCCATGATTGTCGTTGGTATGGGGCTGTAAAGTGTATCTGCGAGGGCGTTTGCCTGCGCCTGATGTTTCAGGGGACCAATCAACAATCCGCGAAGATACATGCCAAAGAGTCGCATGTAAAAGCTCACAGCGGCCACCCTGGAGGTTGTTGGCTTAGATCACGTTCAAAAATGTAGTATAGGTCAGGTTGTGGCTCACATGGTGAAGTCGGCCTCGGACTGCCCACAACGAAAGGTTGCGGTTCGGGCGTTCGTACACTCCTGGATGCACCACACCCTCTGCGAGTCTGGTCAGCTTGGGAGAGTGGGCCAGGATTGTCATAGCTTGCATTGAACCACGGGCGCCTGTATAACTCGGCTGACAACCACTTGAACGGGTGTCTGTCATTTCGCGCATGATCTAAATGCTGAGCCATGACATTTAGTATAGTCCTCCGTACCCGGAAAGAAGCCTGCTCATCCCTCTTGCCCGAAAGCCAGGATACCAACTCGTTCGATTGTTGGATTACCGCGTCCCATAGGCCGATCTCGATAAGCAATCTACCTAGTTCACGTATACCTATGAAAGCATGGTCCGATGCCGCCGTCGAAGGACCAAGCCAAATGACAACGCGAGTCGCAGCGCCGTAGATTCTGCGCATGAGCTGTACCTGCCAGGTCTTCTCGTTGTCGTCTTGCTGATTGATGCAGATCGCATCTGCCCATATGTAGAACCCATCATCTTTAGATCGCAGGCTGCTGAGGGCGTTGTCGAGACTCTCCGTTATGAACATTTGGGAACCAGAAATCGTGATTGGACGGTCCAAAGGCTGCCCGCCCCAGCAGTAGGAGAGTGCGACAAAATCGCGACCGCCGTCCAGTATGGAAGTGGTGAGCGCATATCCACTGTTGCTGCTTGAACGATTGGCCTTCTGAGGTACCCACAAGAGTCTGATCTCCGACTTGGCCGCATCGACTGGCTGATACTTGTATGAGGGGACGACTTGATCAGTGTGTTCAGGAGAGCCCATGTTTCTGGTGTGTCGAAGTTGTGAGCGGTAGAGAGCATTTGCACAGCGTTTGGCAACATCAACCTATTTACTGCTCAGCCGTATGCCGATGGACACACAAGAAGCGTGGCATTGTCGCAAAAGCCGACTCAGTATCACCGTGGCGCATAAGCCAGTCGACCTTCCCAGTCAGCTGCATGTCTTTCGTCCAGCACTCTGTGGGTCGGAAGCGTAGCCAGGCTTAGCCCTGGAGGCAGTCGACGAGTTCAGGTGGACGATTGATCAAGTTCAGAGTACCATGACGAGTGCAGAGCATTGTTGATTTGCTCGCTGACAAAGAGTGCAAGGAGAACCAGAGGGTGGGGATAGCAGATGCGGTGGTTGTAGCTGTCCCCAGCGTGAGCGCGTCAATGACGGCGGAAAGCGGTACCGAGCTCTCACAACGTGAACAATCAGCTACCATCCACCCGCACAACGTCGATAGCCGCCTCTCAGCAGCCATGTTTGACACATTAGCAGAAGACATCCGGTGCACGTGACGCACCTCAACCAAGATGGAGCACATACACATCGCTGCGCTCCGGCCGAACCTGGACGCGCTCGAATCGAAGCAGATCAAAGCCGTGGTCACGCTCATATGGCCGTACTCGTCGTCCCAGCGCCAATTTGCCTTGCTCCTTGCCGAGCCCGACCTTGGACTGCGACGCAAGAAGGGCCAGGTCCGCGCCCGCTTCTCAGCAACCAGCGCCAGAGCTCTTGCGACAACGGGCGTGGGGGTCGGCGACGAGGTGGTGCTGAGCCTGCATGGCGCGCAGTTTGTGCAGGATGGCGCAGTCAGCACGCCTGGGAAGAGTCTGGACTGGGAGCTGGCATACGCGCAGACGCTCGCCGTTTCTGTGCGCCGCAATGGAGTTGAGATGGCGAATCTGGAGATGATAGATGCTGCACCAACCCCAGCGCCGCGGTCGCCTGTGAAGAAACCAGCAGCAGCGCCCAGTCCGATAGCTCAGTGGTCTTCTCCAGCTTTCCTCAAGCGCGCACGGCTCTCGGACGGCCCCTTCTTCGAACAGCCGGCGTACGATCCCTTGGCAGACGAGAGCAACGAGGGACACGACAAGAAGCGGCGGCGCAAGTCGTACAGGGATTGGACGGCTTGGACGTACACAGCGAGGACACCGTCGCCGGAGAAGGAGGATGTTGGCTTGCAAGACGAGTGGGAGCAGGCCATGTCTTCGCCGAGCAGACCACCGCAGCTGCCCAAGACGCCCATCTCGCCTTCCAGGACCGGGCCTGCGTCGGCCACAGCAGAACCGCTGGAGGGCTCGGAGTATATTGAGGAAACTACAATAGCGGACAGCGCGGAGGGCGATACGACCGTGGACGATGGCGAACTACAAAAGGTTCATGTTCCGTTGACCACAAGCCCGTCGCGGCCGAAGGAGGATGTTGGGCGCGATGCCGACTACTACGAACTCTATTCTGAGCCCAACGAGGGCCCTCCATTGGACTCGCAGTATGACTTCGGAGGCGACACCGAGCTCAATACAGAGGACGAAGACGAAGACGAAGACGACAACGCGCCAGGGGTTGAAGAAGTTGATGCAAGTGCTACAGAGCTGGCTACTGAGCTGGAGGACGAACACCAATGGACAGATAGTGAGCCAGACGCACTTGCTTCGCAACCTGTTGCAGACGCTGTCGAGGGGGTGGACGGTACAGCAAGTGCAACAGAAGAAGACAGTCTCTTCGAGGTTGCCGAAGCGGGCCAGCCGGAAGATGCCTCCGTGGTAGTCGAAGACACGACCATTGACGAGACAGTTCCCGAAGTGGCTGAACCTTCCATAATCGTCGACGACTCTCTTGCAATCGCCATGCCCCCTCCCAGCTTACCAGTCCTGCATACCGACTTTGCTACGCCTATAGCAACAGGCATATTAACTCCCATCGGCAAAGAGCCATCAAGTCCGAATCTCAAGGCGGTGGACTCAGCTACTCTGCCACTGCCATCGCCGTTTCCTGGAGAGCAAGCTGTGTCATATTTTGACTATGTCTCAACAGGCCACCATCAGGTGCCCCTGGACGGTCCTGCGGTCGAGGAGCAAGAGATGGAGAGCGATGCAGACTACATCATGGAGAACTCCTTCTTCAGCTCGATCAGCTCATCGAAAGCAGGCGGACCCCACCAGGACCATGAAACCGCCTTCGCCCCTGTGCGCTTCACTTTTGGCCTGGACGGAGCTGGCTGGTCTCGTCCGTTAGAATTATCCTCACCGCCACCAGAAGACGATCAAGCGGACACTGCTGATAACAAAGACGTCTCAACTGCTCCTCAGGGTGATGAGATAATCGAGCCAGTGCTTCACATTGAGCCAGTCGCTCCAGGGCAACCTCAGAACGCCGAAGAAGTCACACGCTCCTCCCCAGCTAAGACTTTGGAGGAAGATGCTGCGGATGCGCTCGCAGCCTTAAGTGAGACTGCAAAGCCGGTCATTGATGCTGTTCAGCCGCCAGTCGAAACAGGCTTAGCACCAAAGTCGTCCAATGTGATTGCTGTGTCCTCCGATGTGGAGTCAGACGAAAGCGAATACGAAGATGCAGTCATGGTTGAGCGTGACGAAGAGCAAAGTCCAGAGCAAGAGACTGAATCAGAGAGCGAAGAAGAGGCCAAATCAGAATCCGACGAAGAGCACGAGACGGAGTCCTTGGATCTTGGCTCGCCTTCAGCTCATGAAGTCAGTGATGATCAAGACGACAACGACGTTGCCGAACCAAAGCCCGTGCAAGCTGCCGACAGAATTGCTGATGTTGAGTCAGAGAAACGTGCTGGTGATACTGACAACCTCCATGAAGACAATTTTGATCTTCGAGTCGGATTGACAGACGAAGCCACCGCTACGACTATCCCTGACAGCTTCAACTTTGACGATTTCTTGACCAAGAATGTTGTGCAAGAGCCCACAGTTGTGTCTTCTAGCCCAGATCAGCTTACCCACGAGCCAGCTTCGATAGCTCTACCAGACACTTTTGAGGAGCCACCCCGCCCAGCGTTTGATGATTGGGAGCCGCAGGTAGGGACGGACGAGCCCCTGTCATTCATCGAAAACGATGATACGTCTGCCGCCCGGGTCGATACTGAAGATCCTGATGTCAAGATGGAGTCGGTCGAAGATGACTCGTTGTGTCTGATCACCCAACCGGAGACCCAGAATGTACCGCAGAAGTCAGGCACTGGCCCTGCGACGGAGCTCCTGATAGGCATTCCTGAGAACGGCCACAAGCTTGGAGAATTGCAATTCAAGTCAGTGCCTGCAACGGCTGCCGCTAGGAATACAAGGTCAAAGGCAAAGTCTGCAGCCTCGCCGCCGGAAGAGAATGCGTATGTGTCTAGGCTCAGTACAAGCATGCGACGTACAAGATCCAAGGCCTCGTTTGATTCTACAAATCGCGACACCACCTCACCCTCAGGAGCTCGAGTATTTCCTAGGTCAACTGTCACTCCCACACGAGATGCGACGCAAACATCGCCTTATAGCCTTCGATCGCAGTCTAAGCATATGTCACCCGATAAAAGTATGGCTACCTCCCAGGTTCCGGTTCGCAGGAGCCCTCGCAAGCTCGTACAAAGAGATACCGACTTTGACATTGTCCCATCTCAAGGGGAGAACCGCGATGTGTTCGGCAGCATGTTCGAGCCATCACAGGAGCTAGGCTTTGGGTATTCACAACTTTCGCAAGGTAGAAACTCTGATGTAGGCTTCGTGAAAGACTCCGAGGAGGATACCTCGCACTCTGAAGGCTCAATTTCCACCGTCCAATACTCCGATGGCGATGGAGTACAAGCATGCACTAACATGAGCGATTCAGTGAGAGTCGTTGACGAGGAGTCTACTACACCTCGACTGAAGCCACCACCAGCGAGCCTATCGCAGACACAGCGTCAAAATCGCTCGAGGTCACGATCAACAGGAGAACAGAGTACGTTTGTGTCACTAGACCGACCACCACAAACTCCAAGACGATCGCCTAGGCTGACACGCTCGACGTTTTCTACATCCCTGAGTCCTCGCACTGTACGCACAAGAAGAGCACCCGCTCAAATCACTTCTCCAGCGCTTGGGGTTGAGGAGGTTGAAGACCTCCAAGAGGAGTCAACGCCAAAGGTCAACGACCAGTCCGTCATCTACCCTGTCCTGCCGATCGAAAGCGAAGGCGACCTTCGAAGCTCTCCACTCGCACCAAGCATAGCCAGCGTTGCCTCTCGCAGATCATCTCCCGCCGCCGAACCAGCATCTGCACAACAACTGCCCCTTCAAGAAAGTAATCTCCTGACGCCAGACGACACCCAGCAAACAGCCTTGGAACCACCACTCTCCTTTCAAGCCCGTCAACCCGACCAAAGCCTGCTCATCACGCCCGAGCTTACACAAATGACGGACGCAAGCGCAACGCTACGCTCGTTTGACATTCCGATGCCGGGCGTACAGACACAACCTGCTCCACATTCACCGATCACTCGCACCTCGCCACGCCGCAAGCCCGCTGTCGCCGAGGAGAGATCTTCCTCGCCCATCCGTGCGTCGTCACCTATGCAGCAATCTTCAGAGGCTATCTCTGAGCTCGACGAAGACGCTACGCTCGTCCAGAAAAAAGAAGATTTGCCCTCGATTGGACTGAGCACGCCGATGGCGTACTACACTCCGTTGCGCGACTTGATTTACTTCCTAAATCGCTCCTCTCAGTTTCACTCCTCGTCAAACCCTGACGTCCTCGCCCTTTGCACATCAGCGAGCACGACGCCTGAGAAAGCAAAGAAGGGTCCGCGACATTGGAATACGACGCTCCACATTACAGACCTCTCGGTATGGCCGGAGGCCAGAACAGTTAACATCTTCCGCGCATACCAGAACGCGCTGCCCATGTGTGAGACGGGTGACGTCATCTTGCTCCGCGCATTCGGTGTAGAGAGTCGTAACCGCCAACCCTTGCTCAGATCTCAAGACGAGAGCTCGTGGTGTGTTTGGCGTTACTGCAAACCGGTTTGGGGCACGAAGAAGGGGAAGTGGGGCGAGCTGAGAGCTAGAGAAGAGGTCAAGGGGCCGGTTGTTGAGAGGGGTGAGGGGGAGTGGACGGAGGTGGGGAAGTTGAGGAATTGGTACATGACTACGGTGAAGGCAGGTCTGGACAAACAGCACGAGGAGAGGGAGGGTAGGAAGAGGGAGACAAGGAGTTGGAGCAAAGGGGTAGAGGTGCAAGCTGAAGAGGTGGAGGGAGATGACTAGGACAAGACCTGAATAGTGTTGCATATAGCCTCTTGTGCACTCGAGAAAGCCGGACACAAGCAAATGACCATAACCCCGATAGTAGCCTTGCAATTGTATAGGCCTCAGAGCTCTGTTGAGAACTTCTTCTGTCCAATGACTTCAGTATAGTCATATACACGAACATGAAGTGTGACGGTAGTGGCAGAGTCATATCACATGGGCATTGACTGGAGGCTTGTGTTGAGATCATACATCGTGTCTCGTTTTGTGGTTCTATTTTGTCCATCTAGATCGTATCGTCATAGCTGTTGTGCTGCTTCATGCACCTTTCCAGACCGTTACCTGATAGACTTATCTGAAAGACGATGCGTCCGTACTGCAGCATCACACCGCAGCATTACTAACATGCTCAATCTACCCAGCAACGATCCTACTAAGCGTACTCGATACAACATTCAAGCCTTTCAATCAATCAAGAAGGCACTTAGGCCTTCTCGTAGATCCAGTCGAAGCCAGCCTGCTTCCACTCCTGGACCTCGCCGTCCTTGAACCACAGAGCAATCTCCTTCTTGGCGTTCTCGACGGAGTCGGAACCGTGGCAGACGTTGCGACCAACGTCAATAGCGAAGTCACCACGGATGGTGCCGGGGGCGGAGGCAGCAGGGTTGGTGGCGCCGAGGAGGACACGGCCGGTCTTGACGGCGTCACGGCCCTCCCAGACCATGGCGCAGATGGGGCCGGAGGACATGTCTGGTACATGTCAGTATGCAATGCCACGTGGGGGGTTGAGAGGGGAGGCTGGTTTGCAGGGTGCTCTGCAGGGGTCTTGGAGGGGCATTTCGAGAGATTTGGTACGTACAGGCGATCAGACCGGGGAAGAAGGGCTTGCCAGCCAAGTCCTCGTAGTGCTTCTCGAGGTGCTCCTTGCCGGGAGTGACGAGCTTGATGGCAGCGAGCTTGAAGCCGCGGTTCTCGAAGCGGGAGATGATGGGGCCAACGAGGCCACGCTGTGCATAGAATCAGTACACCATTATCCCACTGTGTCGTTCCATTGCAATTGAGCCGTATGCTGCATTTGCAGTGAATCGTGGTGTTGTGCGTACCTGGACGCCATCGGGCTTGATAGCAATGAAGCTGTTCCCAACAATTAGCTACACCGCCATTCGATTGTTTACCCCTCCTAAGGAGACAATTGAGGAATTGGACGTACGTCTGCTCGGTAGTCATTTTTGCGGCGTGGAGGGATTCGATGTTCTTTCGAAGGTGGCTTCTGTCTTTGGGACCGAGTTTCAAGAAGATGGGAGGATCGGGAATGCCAGAGGGGAAGGAAGAAGAATTGGACTCGGACATTCTGGCACTAAAATTCTCTTGGTACTGTTGGTGGGGTGCTGCGTTGTTGGCCCCGCGTTTTTAGTGGTTCTGGGCGGTGTGACCCTGAACGCAATGGGCGCTGTTTGTGTGGTTTGAGTGCTTAGTAAGGAACAGCTACGTTTCATCAGACATCTGGGGTAGAAGTTGACAGCAATCCTTTTGGCTCAAGCGGTACCTGCTTTGAGAGCTGCTGGATATGGTTACATTACAACAGCGGTCCGCTCCCCGGTGGACGGCCGTGCTACTGCTATGGACGGCGCTGTGCAGCTTGTTCTTGCCAGCTGGTAAGTACTCGGACGCTTTGGAGCTCCAATTGTCCTGCATACCCTCGAAATATGGGATGTGTTCAAGTCCATATGCTAATTTGGGGTCCTAGTGTCTGTCAAACATGAAAACTTCAAGACTTGCGACCAATCTGGCTTCTGTAAGCGCAACCGCGCGTTCGCCGACGACGTCACTGCCTCTAGCTCCTTCTTGTCCCCATACGCCCTCGACCCTACGACGCTCAAGTTCAAAGATGGCCAATTGGATGCTGTAGTCCTAAAGACAATCAAAAATGGTCAGGAGAAGGTTCAGTTGCCGCTCACGGTCACTTTCCTCGAATCTGGTGTTGCGCGCGTTACTCTCGACGAAGCAAAGAGACAGAAGGGCGACATCGATCTCAGGCACGACAGCAAGGCTAGAAAGGAACGTTACAATGAGGCTGGCAAGTGGGCTCTTGTTGGTGGATTGAAAACCTCCAGCGGCGCAGCACTGGCCGAGGCAGCAGATGCTGGCTACACCAAGGTCGTCTACGGCAAAGGCAGCAAGCACCAAGCTATCATCCGTCATGTACCCTTCTCAATCGAGTTCCAGCGGGATGGAGAGACGCAAGTCAAGTTCAACGAGCGTGGTTTCTTGAATCTCGAGCACTGGAGAGCGAAGGCCGAGAAGCCCAAGGAAGAACCCAAGGAGGGCGAAGAGAACAAGGAGGACCAGAAGGTCGAGGAAGAGCAGGGTGAAGACGAGAGCACTTGGTGGGACGAGAGCTTTGGTGGAAACACCGACACAAAGCCTCGGGGTCCTGAAGCCATCTCTCTTGACATTTCCTTCCCCGGCTACGCACATGTCTTCGGTATCCCTGAGCATGCCACAAGACTCTCGCTGAAGACCACCAGGTATGAGCTAATCATTCTGATTTATCTTAAACTGCAGCTGACAGTCTACTAGGGGCGGCGACGATGCTTACACCGAACCATACCGACTGTACAACGCCGACGTCTTCGAGTACGAGATGGATAGCCCAATGACCCTCTACGGTGCCATTCCCTTCATGCAGGCTCACCGCAAGGGTTCCACCGTTGGTGTTTTCTGGCTTAATGCCGCCGAAACCTGGATCGATGTTACCAAGAAGAAGAACACTGCGAACCCGCTCGCGCTCGGTGTCGAAGGCCACACTGACACTCAGACTCACTGGATGTCGGAGAGCGGTCTGCTGGATGTCTTCGTCTTCCTTGGCCCCACTCCTCAGGACCTCACTCGCCAGTACGGAGAGCTCACTGGCTACACTGCCATGCCTCAGTCCTTTGCCATTGCTTACCACCAGTGCCGCTGGAACTACGTCACTGATGAGGATGTTAAGGATGTTGATCGTCGTTTCGACAAGTTCAACATCCCCTACGACGTCATCTGGCTCGACATTGAGTACACTCACGAGAAGGAGTACTTCACCTGGGATCCTCTGACCTTCGTTGACCCTATCTCGATGCAGCAGCAACTTGACAAGCGAGACAGGAAGCTCGTAGCCATCATTGACCCTCACATCAAGAACACCAACAACTATCCCATTATTGATGAATTGAAGAAGAAAGACCTTGCTGTCAAGAACAAGGATGGCAACCAGTACGAGGGCTGGTGTTGGCCCGGTTCCTCAATGTGGGTCGACTGCTTCAACCCAGCTGCTATCGACTGGTGGAAGGGCCTGTTCAAGTACGACAAGTTCAAGGGCTCTGCATACAACACGTTCATCTGGAACGACATGAACGAGCCGTCGGTCTTCAACGGTCCAGAGACAACCATGCCTAAGGACAACCTGCACCACGGCAACTGGGAGCATCGCGATGTTCACAACGTCAACGGCATGACCTTTCACAATGCTACCTACCAGGCCCTGATTGAGCGCAAGAAGGGCGAGCTTCGCCGTCCGTTCGTCCTTACCCGTGCCTTCTACTCTGGTAGTCAACGCAGCGCAGCCATGTGGACCGGTGACAACCAGGCTGACTGGCCTCATCTCGAAGCATCTCTGCCTATGATCCTCAACCAAGGTATCTCTGGTTTCCCATTTGCAGGTGCTGATGTTGGAGGTTTCTTTGGCAACCCCAGTAAGGAGCTTCTCACCCGCTGGTACCAGGCTGGTATCTACTACCCGTTCTTCCGTGGCCACGCCCACATCGATACTCGCCGCCGTGAGCCCTACATCCCTGGATCTCCTTACACCGAAATCATCACGCAAGCCCTTCGTCTCCGTTACCAGCTACTTCCTGCTTGGTACACTGCCTTCCACGAGGCCCACACAACTGGTGCACCGATCGTGCGTCCCAACTTCTACATTCACCCTGACGATGAGGCTGGATTCGCCATCGACGATCAGCTTTATATCGGATCCACCGGTCTGCTTGCCAAACCTGTCACCAAGGAAGGCGCCGATAGTGTCTCCGTATACCTCGCTGACGACCAGCCCTACTTCGATTACTTTGACTACACCACCTACAGCGGCAAGGGTCAGCACATTGTCCCCGCTCCTCTCAACAAGATCCCACTTCTGATGCGCGGAGGTCATATCATCCCTCGTCGCGATCGCCCACGCCGTTCTTCAGGCCTGATGAAGTACGACCCTTTCACTCTTGTTGTCGTTCTCGACAAAGATGGCAACGCGGCTGGCACACTTTACGTCGATGATGGCGAGACCTTTGACTATCAGGGCGGTGCCTTCATCCACCGTCGCTTCTCTTTTGATGGAAAACGCAACATTCTCACCTCGTCCAACCTTGACACCAGCACTATCCGCACCGTCAGGTACGAGAAGTACGCCAAGTCGATGGCCAAGGTTCGTGTCGAGAAGGTCATCATCGTCGGTGCCCCAAGTGTATGGAAGGACAAGGACGAGGTCATCGTCATGGAAGAGGGCTCGAAGGAGAGCAAGAGGAGGAAGCCAGTGCCGCTAGAATACTATGCTGCGGATGGCAAGAAGGCTGCCTATGCGGTCATTCGTGACCCTAGTGTTGGCATTGGACGTGGCTGGAAGATCGATTTTGGTGGTGCGAATGCTGGTCCGCATGATCACCACGGCCATGAGCATTGAATGTAGCGACGAACAAGATCTGATGTTGCACCTATCAAAAAGAGGTGTCACGCATTGTGCATAGAACTTAGAGAACTCAATAAAAGCAACTTCCAGGAGGAACCCGGAAGGTAACACAGACTGTTTGCTACCGGGCTCAAGGTCGCTCCTACCTTCCTCCAAGTATGCACGACGCTAACGCTGAGGAAACCACGACCACCCGCATCTGGGCTTTCTTCTTTTTTCTTGGCTTTCCCGTTGGACTTCAAAACAGCGTTGATGCGACAGCTTTAATCCTTACACCATACCATGATGGTTGGCTGAGCAATTTATTAATTGCCTTACCAGGGTTCATGGAGAGTTGTTCGTGCAGGATGCGGGACAATTCTGTAACTAGCTGACACCCTTACGTCACACAAGTCTTACGTTTCTGCAGCTCTTTACAATAATATGATCGGCCTGTCAACGTAACCACGCCACGAGCGCCCGTCATGCTACGGAGCTGAGCAGTATGGTTGACTTTTCTAATATAAAGGTCCGATAGGCAGGATGCATGACTCGGAAGCTTTGAGATCGCCACGATGGCTAAGACTCCATACAAGTATATACCGCTGGACTCGACCAAAGAGGAGATACGGCTCCTATATAAACCAAAAAGCGATGCCAAAGCGGGCCTCATCAAGTACTCCCTCTGCAACGTCTCGCTCCAGGACACACCCGAATTTACCGCTCTTTCGTACCACTGGGGCCGGCAGAGCCATGACCGTCCTATCACTATCAACGGAACGCGCACGCACATCACACAAAATTTGGAGACTGCTCTACACCATGTTGATGGTGGGATATGGCTGTAGGTAGACGCAATCTGCATCAACCAAGCAGATGATGTTGAAAAGACCTCGCAAGTACAGATTATGCACAACATACATTCGGCCGCAGCCAAAGTGTTGATATGGCTTGGGTCATCTACTATTGAGACGGATGACGCGATTGCGGGAATTCGTGAATTGGGAGACGTACTACTTGAAACTCATTTACTGGAGCTAGTCGCGGAGAAAAGACGAGAGCTGGTACCATGGATCGTGCAGCCGGGTGATAGCTGGTATAAGGCGCAAGTTGATTGAAGTTATGGTCAGATACCGACAAGCAGCACATGAGGACGGCAAACATCCTTTCTGGCGGGTAAGTCCAGAGCTGGCTACACGGCAGTGGTTCCGCGTAAGTCCACACCTATCAGATCATATTGCCAGAGAACTGAGCGAATAGCGGGTTTGGTGCATTTAGGGGTGTCAACGCACGCACAGCCACTTACGCTGCGGGACTGCGGAGGTCGACTACAGACAGTCAGTGGTAATTCACACATTGTAAATGCTGACCACTGACGAGGCACAGCATCCAAGCCGTACCCTGGTTTTATCGACTTTTCTGGCTCTTCATCTCCGGTGGATTCCCCGACCACACCGCAGACTCCGAAGTGATGAGTCGGCTGATAACTACGTTCTACAATTTTGGCGGCCCAGTGCCCACCACGATTCTCGATCTTCGGAACAGATCCCAACACAACTCGGAATTCAGCTTGCGAAGCTTCCTTGGCCTTACGAACATTGTCTCGTGTGGATATGCGCGCGGTATAGATGCAAGCGATGACCGCGACCGTGCATACACGCTGTTGGGCGTTACCACCGACGATGCTGCAAGAGACATTGTACCAGATTACACGCTGTCTTGTCACGACGTATATATCAGGACCGCCCAGGTTTTGCTGAGGCACGGGCACTACGATATCCCCTCACTATGTCGAGGTCAGGATCGTAATTACAGTTTGCCCTCATGGGTACCTGACTGGTCTACTGTAATGGAGCAACCGTGATCCATGGCAGTCTCTGTACCGGACAACGACTATGACGCCTGTGGAAATTTGGCAGATCGAACCAGGAAAGTAGACAAATCCGCTGGCGTCCCACACATCCTTGACGTTTGGGCAATAGTTGTCGATATCATCAGCAAGACCGGCGATATTTACACTCCTTCGATCGCTCTAAACTGGCACTGGCCTTCCCTCAAGCAATACTTCTGCAACCTACAATCCTATCTGACGCAAAGCACCATGTATTCTCCTTCTGAGAAAATCGAAGCGGAATGGCGCATCCCTGTCGCGGACATGGAATATACCGCCACCAACAGACGCTACGTCCGTGAACCTCCACACTCACACATGGCGGCTGGCTACGCGCGTGCGAATGAAGTCCATGACCGGTAGATGAACGGTATGCCACAAGCAGTCTTCGAAGAAGGTCTGACGGGTTCCTTGCCCGTTGATAGTCCGTACACGTGTTACATAAATCAGGTCTCGAGGATGTACAACACGCGGCCGTTTCTCTCTAGTGCAGGGTATGTTGGGCTTTGTCCTCCAGAGACGGAACCTGGTGATACGATCGCAATATTTGCCGGGGTCAAACTAACCTACATCGTCCGCCGGAGCTCAGACGGTCAGGGTCAGACATGGAAGTTGATCGGCGAAACTTATACACACGGGATCATGGACGGTGAACTCGTGAGCATGGGTTCAAAGACTGAGACCATCACGCTGCAATGAGCATAACCCATGTTGCGTCTGGGTCAACTGAGCAGGAGATCTTGAGACGGTTGACAGGAGTGGAACCATGGACAGCGATTTCGCAGGCGAATTCATGGACGGAGGTCACCGCGCTGTAGTAAGAATAGGCCTTGAGTGTGCAAAGCCGATGTCAAAATCCACTACGTATTGTCGCAATGCCGACCCCTCATCGCTGGCCTTATCTTCCAGCGCCTCCACTGCCACAGGTCATCATAACCATGTCTTGACAAGTAGCCCAACGAATCACCAACCTCCTCCTTGCAAAGTTGCGGTGCACAGCACAGCTCTATCAAACGCAAACTGGACGTAAACACACAACAAAAACACCTCATTGACACATAAGACCAGCACATTGGAGGAGTGACCAAGTTGGATTTTCGATGCTACCAAAGGAATGTGGTGCCATGGCAAGCCATCAAGCATACAGAACGCACAGCGTCAGTAAAGACAGACCAGTGTCGATACAAAGAAATAACAATGAGACCCTTCTGACATTTACCCATCCCCATCCGCCTCCTTATTTCTCGCTCATCCTCTGCACAGTAGCAACATCCAGTCCCACCCTAGCCTCAGCATCCTCCCTAGAGATGACCTTATGCGCACCACTCCAGATGCCAAAGCGGCGCTTGATCATCTTCCACGTCTCAATCGCCGAGACGTACAGCACAACGCAGCCGAAGCTGACGCCCCACTCCCACGTGATAGGACCGTGCTTGAACACCTTCTCGTTGATAATGGGGATGTACACAATCGGGAACATCATAACGAGACCCGCAATGACAGCAAAGAAGAGGAAGCGATTGCGCCATAGCGTGGGGAAGACAGATAAACCGCGTGGCACGTTCTGATCTGTGTTGGGATACATGTTGAACAAAGAGCGGGCGAAGTGCTTGACCTCCCAGGCCGTGACGAGGAGAAGGAGGGTGATAGTAGTGTACGTTGTAGCGCGAGCGCGGAACACAACGTCACACGTATCGTTGAAGCCTTCGTTGCAGCCAGAGCCGAGGTTACCACCACCAGGGCCGACGTAGGCAACGATGGCGAACGAGAAGAGACAGAGCGCGCCCATGAAGAAGCCGTAGATGAACTTATCGGTGATGAGCTCCTTGGAGAACACACCGGCTTTGACGTCGTGGGGTGGGCGGTACATGCTGTCCTCCTGCTTCTCTTCAAGACCGAGACCAATGGCGAGGAATGAGGACGTGATGAGGTTGACCCAGAGAATCTCGATGGGCGACAAGGGGAAGACAGAGTGGTTGTCATTGTCCTTGAAGGCGAGACCGATCAATAGAAGGATAACCTGAGCGATGTTGGAGATAAGAAGATGCATCAAGAACTTCTGGATGTTGTCGAAGAGGCGGCGACCTTCTTCAACCGCTTTGACAATTGAAGCGAAGTTATCGTCAGTCAATACCATTTCGGCGGCATCCTTGGCGACATCGCTACCAGTACCCATAGCCATTCCGACGTTAGCTTGCTTGAGGGCAGGTGAGTCATTGACACCGTCACCAGTCATGATGCAGAAGCGCTGCCTACGGTGCAGAGCTTGAACCATCTTGACCTTAGTCTTAGGGCTGCATCTAGCGATGACTAGGGGTAGCGTTTCCATGGCGTCGATCTGTTCCTCCGTCATGTCGTCAAACTCGCGAGCTACCATGACAGCGGATGCGGGAGTGGAGTCGTTGATGATGTCAACGTCACGGGCGATAGCTCGAGCCGTACCAGGGTGATCACCTGTGAGCATGTGCACAGTGATACCAGCGACCTTACATTCACGGACAGCACCCTTGGTTTCCAGGCGAGGCGGGTCGTAGATGGCGACAAGACCGATGTAGTTAAGGTTTTTCTCGACTGTGGCACGCTCGTGGATGTCAGTACCAGGGAGCAGTGTCTTATGGGCGATACAGAGCACGCGGAGACCTTCGTTGGCCATCGATTCGGCGGCCTGCAAGATACCCTCACGCTCCTGGTCAGTGACGTTGAGAACAGGAAGCATGAATTCAGTGGCTCCCTTTGTGTAGACGTCGAGGTTGTGGTTGGTGTTGTCTCTGTAGACGACAGTCATTTTCTTGACTGTCGAGTCGAAAGAGAACTCCGTGGCGAGAGAGACGTTGAGTGAGTTGAGTAGGTTCTCCTTGCCCATGTTGAAGCGGAATGCAAGAACGTGCAGAGCGATCTCAGTCGGTTCGCCGTATGCCTTCCATGGTCCGGTCATGGGGTTGTTTAAGATAGCAGTGGGTGGCCGTGAGATAGACTCAATGGTGGAAGTATCGGTCTCGCTCTTATTATCACTGGCGTAGCGGTCAAGGCCAGCCTTCTTCTCACTACGTGTCTCGAGGTCGGCATCTTGCGCAGGTAGCACCTTGGAGTTGTTGCAAAGAGCGATTGTGCGGAGGAAGCGAGCAAGCACAGTGTCAGGCCTGTAGGCCTCCAGGGCGAGTACTTGGCCGTCGAGGGTGACTTGGCCGCTTCCTGGGTTGTAAGGGTCGGTGATGCTGTCAACGGAGAAGATACCGATACCTGGGATGAGGGCCTTCTTCGAGACCATGCGACCTTGAGTCAGCGTACCAGTCTTGTCAGAGCAGATGTTCGTGACACCTCCGACAGCTTCGATGGCAGACTGGACCCTGGTGATGACGTTGGCCTTGGCCATGGCCTTTCCACCGACCGCAATAGTGATGGTAAGTACGGCAATGAGGGATTCTGGAATGACCGCGACGGCCACACAGATACCGTAGATGAGGACTTCGCCACCAACTACCCACTTGCTTGCAGAGAAAACAATGATAGCAAGGAGGATGGCGAGACCGAATAGCAAGAGAGCGAATTTGCTGAGGGTGATTTGCAGTGGTGTTCCCACCAGGCCAAGAATGGTCTTCAGGCCGTTCAAAAATCTCCAGACCAGCTTAGCGAAGAAGCCTTGAGATTGCGCCTTCTCGTCTTTCTTCTGACGGAGCATGGTGGCAATCTGGCCCACTTCAGTGTCCATGGCGGTTGCAACGACAATACCACGGCATCGGCCGGAGGTCATCTCGCTTCCAGAGAAAGCGAGGTTGGTGCGGTCAGCAGTGGCGATGTCGGCGTCATCAAACTTCTTGTGGGGTGTCTTCTCGACAGGGAGGGATTCACCTGTGAGGAAGGCTTCGTTGGTGAAGGCGTTCACACCATCGATGAGACGGAGGTCAGCAGGGACAATACTTCCAACGTTGAGTTGCACAATGTCACCAGGTACAAGGTCTAAAGCCTTGACCTTCTGATCGGGTATGCCATTTCGAGTGACGGTAGCCTCTGGGGCGGTGAGCTTCTTAAGAGACTCAATCGTCTTTTCAGCACGATAGTCTTGCCAGAAACCAACGACAATGTTGAGTAGGATGACTGCAGTGATTACGCCGCCTTCGATGTAGTCGTCAATGCCAAAGCTTATGGCCATTACGATGATGAGGACGAAAGTAAGACTGTTCGAGATCTGCCTCATGAGAATCTTCCACATGGAAAGCCCCTCAGCTCCCTTAACCTTGTTAGATCCATAGAGCCCGAGGCGGGATTCCGCTTCAGCAGTGCTGAGTCCATGGCTGATGAAAGGTTAGCAAGACTGTAAGACGTAGCAAGAGAGTCTTGCTGGTCTTACTTGATATCGACGCGCAGAGCCTCTGCAACTTCTTCGAAGGAGAGGGTGTGCGGGGCGTGGAGCGGAGATGGAGAATCGCCGTTGCTCTTCGGCTGATGTTGCCTTTGATGGTGAGATGTATTTAGCCCATTTAAACCACCTATAGGGGGTTCAGTTTCTTGGGGAGCGGTCTCCTCGACGGTAGGCAGTACAGTTTCACCCATTCAATAGCTCGATGGCACAGTGGTGTGGCTTTGGTGAAGAGTGAAGGAGGGCGCTCGCGGGGGTGGCAGTTATACTCGTTTGTTGTACCAGGATTGGCGGGGTCACGCACGCTAGGGAGAGCTACGTGGGTCCTTCCAAGTGTGGGGAGGTCTTGGTAATCCTCATCATTCACGCCTCACTCACCTGCAGTCATCGCGAGACCAACGCATCGCCAAATTTAATCCCATGCATATTATGCGCTGCAAAATTCTGGCCGTGTGAAACCACGCGCTGCGCTCGTTGCGAAGAGTCCCTTTGCACAAGGTTTCGTTGCTTTGGTTGTTGCTTCTCTGTTCATTGACGAGATGTCAAGGATCTTGGCTGACGGCTCCAAGGGTTTCTTTGCCGCTTTCCGGATTCGTGTATCGACAGATGTGTACACAGCCTCAGCGCCGAGAAGAATCGGTTGTTGGCACTGCAGCTGTACGCATGCTTGTGGTACGGTTGGTGGATGTCGTTTGTATGTCCAGCGCTCGAAACAGCAAGTCAATACCGCGGTATGCCAGATCTGAACATGTTACTCATAGTTCTTCGGTGAATGAACCACTCACGGTGCTCTTATTGCGGCGTCTTGTTGCTCTTGGCTCTTTGGTAAGCAATCGCATCAGACGTGACACACTGATGCTCCCCCGCGTCTTCGACTGGTCCGGATACAGATCTGATTGCCACCAATGAGGCGTAACGAAGCGGCTGATAAGAATGTGGAGTAATGCACCTCGTACCGAGTCGTCTTTGCGAAGGTTCAAAGAATCAGGCAGGTCGTCAGATGTTGACGTTTCACCGATGCTCGGCGGCTTGCAAGGTGGTAGGTGTGGGTGGCATGGCGTGAGGTGCAGACGGACGCCATGTTGAAGACACCAATTGACTTTCCAGCAGTTGATAAGAGAAAGGAAGTGCGAACTGACGAGATGTCGTCGAAACTGCCTTGTACCTTATCGATAGTAAGAGCGCCAGAGAGCCGCAGATCCGAGACTCCCACGCGGACGGCAGGCACCAGATGGTGGGGTAGGTATTTTTGGCCAGGGCTGGCTGTCGCACCCCCGCAGCAAAGACAGATACTATCACTGCCATCCAGAGTCAACACCAGATTTGGTAGTCACTGAACGGCACCATGTGATCTCGCAGAGGAGAGTCGGATCGACGTCGGTTAATGCTAGCCCACGGCAATCTGGGAGCTTCCAATTGTCGACTGTAGTTATCATAGGTCATGGAGCACGCGACCTAAACACGTCACGTTAGCTGAAGCAAGATGCTTCATCGTCAAGGTATGCACAAGAGAGAACAAAGACTTTCGGATTGTATCAAACAGTCAGTGTGCGCCATATTACCCCAGCCCAATGCTGATTATCCTTCCATGCAAATTCGTAAAGTCGTGAAATTTAAAAGTTGAAAAGTCGAATATCCACCATCTCCCCCTCAAATCTCGCGCAACGACTCGGCTTCCGACACACTCGATGAGCGACGCTGGGGAGCCAACATGTTATCAGCTTCGACCAGCGCAGCTTGTATCGACATGTTGAAGGTGCAGGCGAGGTATTGTGCGTAACGGTTGCGGTATGCTTCCGCAGCGTCCTCTTTCGATGTGTGAAGTGACTTCCTTGCTGAAGCGCCTGATGCTAGGTTAGATGACAAGCTTTAGTTTGGTTGATCAAATATACCCGATGCGGGATGAAGAACTATCGAGGGCGCTGGCGACGAGCTGGGAGAAGAAGATGGCGAGGAAGAAGCGCTGAATGGAAGAGAAGGCATGATGAATGTCAAGAGTGGTTCTCGGTTTGTATGAAGATAGTTCTTTGGCGTCGATCCCGTCTTGGATAGAGTACTGAGAGTACTTGAATGGCTTGAATGATTGAAGCTTGATGATTTTTGCTATTTCGAAGGGGCAGTCAGCGATCGCTTTATAGCAGACGAATGGCTGGAATCCCGGAAAGGCCTCACGATCCTCGGCACACCGTAAGGTCAGAAACAGCACGAATAACACCCTGACGGTAACCTCAGACACGGCCGCTGATGCATGCATCTCGATCATCCCAATAAGTGCGTAGCATTCCAGGTGACTACATGATCAGGCTGGGCTAGCGCTGAGCCATTTTTGACCCGTGGGCCTTCTCCACTACACCGCCAGAACCGATCCGACCAAACAAAGTCTGGGGAAACCCACGATAGCTCAGGGGTCACCATCCTTTCAGCCCCTTGCGTGTTATAGCCCGTAACGGCAGGTACTCGCCAATAAGCACGTTGTCGATTCCAAGCCATGGCTTTGCGCAGTTTGATAGTGCACGATCCCTCACAAGAAGCACTGCGTGTACCATCTTGACTTCACAACTGCTGGGCGTTAAAGCAGCACAAAGTTAGATCGCCCAGACACTCGCGTGCTCGACTTGACCAGCGTTTGCCACGTTCCAACGGATCCAGCAAGATGGCTGTTGGAAAAACACGCGATGACACAAGCCAATATCGCTATTCGTGCTTTGTATGACGAGGATTAGATTGGGCCCTTGTCAGTTGTAGTGGGTACAACCGCGTCCGCCATCTTTGTTGCAGCTGAGCCACCGCTCAGGTCCTCGTTGACTTCCAATTATGGAATCTTGCATCTTGTTGTGTGATAAGACTGTCCAACTTGCAGAGTTTGATAACTTAGCAGGCCCTCATCATCAGCTTCATCACCACGTTAATTGATTGAGAAGTCTGCAGAACTTGAAATTTCGAGCATTCCTGCAGCCCGCATGAGACTTATCTGTGGCGCCGGCAAGAAGAAACAGGACGTTTTCTAGATTCCTTGGATCTGCACCTGACTTCTCACGGTTCAGCCGCGGGAAAGCGCAGCCAGAGCCTGTTCCCTCACATTTCTCTTCGCCGGATCGTCTGCCACACAGACCGTTTCCACAATCCCACTTCACAGACCCACTTCACAGACCCACTCTGATCACGATGCTTTTCGACGCTGTCGTTCGCCTTGCTCACGATGCCACGAGGGCCTTTGCGTGTTCGTGTTGCTTGGATGATGGCATTTCGCAGAGTACAGTGAGTCTAGACTGGCTGGTGATCTGAAATTACGGCATAGAAACCTGCTGGCACGCAACGAACGTCACGATGTCAAAGACACAACGGTTCAAACGCCATTTTGCAAGACGCGCCATGTCTGAGGACTGACGATCAAAGAAGGCCAATGCGGGGCCGCCGACCGCTAGATTCGCATGCATCGGCTTTGTCCCTCCCTCACAGCCGTCACGCTGATCCAAAATCCAGGCACCGCTGCAGTCCCCACCCACCTTCCTATTTGTTGTGGCCGGCTGCTTTGGCGACATCGTGAGCGCTGGGTTGCTTCGGCTTCATTGTCTTTTGCACGATGCACGTTGGTGGCGTGTGGAGCGTGTGGAAATGAGTTTCCGAGCTGAGTTTTCTCCCTGCATGCTTGCTTGGGCTGACCTGCGCAACGCCGTCCCAGCCACGATGCACCTGCGCCAATGCCTTCAACCGCACTTGCAGTTCCCAAGTCGGATGTGCATTCCGAACAGCTTTTTCCTTTACCTTTCGCTCACCATTGTTTCCGATTGCACTCAGATCGACCTTTTGCATCACCTGCTGACCGCAAGCTTGAGGCATTTCCACCACAGCACCAGTCAAATTCCCGCGGTGGAGCCTGTCGATCGGTACAATTCTAAACCAACATCGATTGTGCGATATGGGGTACCCTTTTAGGGGCTGAAAGCATCAACTGCTATCACAACATCGTGTTCTGGTTCCTGTTGTGACACGAAGTAATTGCCTCACCGCCATCTCGAACGTGTTGCTATCGTGTGGTCTAAATGGGTCCGCCCTGTGAGTCGCTGGATGTCGAATCATGCACATGCGTCAACACTCGCTTCACATGCAGTTTGACTGATAAGACGCACGACTATCAAACGTTGGATACCGCTATCTGGAGTGAGCCATGGTACGAGAGATATGGGGACGCATCACGTGCGAGACAGTGAGACCATGACTTATGGTCGGACGGAAGCTTATCTCGACGACAGTGAGAAATGTCGTTTGACGACTGGGCTCAAGTCGTTCCGTTCGGTCACGGTCGAGCTACTAGAGCTTGGGGGATTTTGATCCTCTGATCGTCTCTCTCACAAGTCGCTCCTCTCAATATCAGATCCCGCACAAGCGCGCTGACTTTTGAGCCTCTTACTTCATCCAAGCAAGCAGAGCTCCAGACAAGTCTACTATCGCAATCGATACGAAGCCATGTAGATGTCAATATATCGCGCATTTACAGTGATCGTGAGCAAATCTCATCGCGGATCGACGACTCGATGAGCCATTAATTTGGGCAGCACTGCCGCAGATCCGCGATTTCACAAAACCACTCGATACAACGAGGGATTTCTCCGCCCCGAACCGAGCGTTCAATGCCTCATTTCTGGGTACGCTGTTGCTCATGACGGCAACAGGTATACGCTTACACTACCTTCAGTTGCTTCACACTGCCTTACTCGGTCCCAAATCAACCAACTCAAACGGACCATGTTGGGACGATTTGGAGCAACCTGACCAGCTATCAAGTACGCAGAGGTTCGGATGATTGGGTAAATTCATATAGCGCATGGCGACTATGTGTAGCTCGCCACCGGCTCTCTCAGCACATCGACCCTCACCTTGATACCCAACCCTGGTTCCTTCCCCGCCTTCACGCCCTTCCCATCCACTTCAAACCCCGTGTCTGCCGTCTGCAGCGTCACCATTCCTCTCGAGTTTAAGATACATCTCAAATTCTTCTCGGGCACCGTCTGCGCTAAATGCACAATCGCGGCAAATGAGATATCGCTCCCTGTCGTATCCTGCACGCTTACTGTGTAACCTGCAGCGATGCAGATATCTCTCTGCTTCCTCGCCCTCGTCAGCCCTCCCGCCTTGCTGATCTTCAACCCGATGCCTTCCACTGCATCATCAGATATCATACGCGCAAGACTGGCCTCGTCCGTCGCCAACTCATCGAAGATAATAGGAACATCTGTGCGTCTGCGAAGAGACATAGTCTCGCGCCATGTCGCACACGGACTCTCGAGCACAAAATCCAGTCCCGAGGGTAGCAGTCTGAGCATCCTGAGCGCGTGCTCAGGCGTGAGACCACAGTTCGCGTCGACGAGGAAGAACTCGCTCTCCTGCTTGTCAGCCAGCGCAGCGGTGATGATGGCCGCGTCGTTCACGGGATTCGTGCCGATCTTGATGCTATGTCCCAGATAACCCTCATCCCGGTACTTCTGCACCTGCGCCCTCATCTCCTCCGGCGCACACACGCCCAGACTGCTAATCATCGGCAAAGGCACATTTGTTCGCCCGCCGAGCAATTCACACACGGGCAGCCCGACGCTCTTACCGAAGATGTCCCAGCACGCTACATCGAGCGCTGTTTTCGCGTCCAAGTGCCCCGCAAGCGCAGAGTCCATGGCGTCGTTGATCCGGTCCACGCGTCGCGGGTCCAGGCCAATGAGTTCGGGTGCGATTGTGGCGATGGCTGCGCGGACGCCGAGGGCGTGGGAGGGCGCGTAGGTGGTGCCGAAGGGGGTGGACTCACCCCATCCCTCGATGGTAGATGTATTTGGAGGCGAGGAGCGGGAAGTCGATTGGGCGGTTATGCGAACGATTGTCGCGTCGAAGTGTGTGTATGTGCGGCCGCCGGAGAGATGGTAGGTGCCGCCGGAGTAGGGGAGGTTGACGGTGAAGACGTCGATGCGTGTTATTTTGAGTTCTGGGGCTGACATCTTGGAGGGAATGGATTGCGGTGATGAGAGTGTTTAGAGGATTGGGATTGCTTGACTTGCAGGTTGAATCTCAGATCGCGAGATTGTATGGACGACATATGTACTCACTGTATGCGAGTCCATCGCTTTCGCAATGGCCACCTACCGTACTGGGCAAGCTGATGCGAAACAAATGGATTGCTGCAAGTCGTCGTTGTCATTATTGTAGGTGCGGTTGGAGAAGCAGCCCCACTCTGCTCTCAAAGTCACCAATCATAGGTCAGCTCGCGTGGTGAATGCTGCATCGGGTTACACCATTCCTACTTTGGGTTTATCGATGGCTGGACTGCTGATAGTCCTCTCAAACAGGTATCATTGGGCTGTCTAACTTCTAGTATTATAGGAACTCATAGCTCATCATGCTCATCCTTCTCACTTCTATGCACCCTATTATTCTCTGCACCCGTATCCACACTCTCCGTCTCAACACTCACTTCAAACAGCCCACTCCCCACCAACCCACCCCCCTTCGCATGCGCAACCTCCAACTCGAACCACGCATCCGTCCTTGGCACATCGTTGATATCCAGTTCTGCCACGAACGTGCTATTTCCTCCCAGCCCAATATACTGCTCACTCAACACAGTGTTCTTCCTGACATGGCGCACCGTGACGTGCAGTGCGAGCTTGGGTATCATGGGAGCAACTGCAATGACGGCGTTGTTAGTGTAGCTTGCGTCGAACGAGAAGCGCCGCGGTTCCGATTCAGGAGTCACGTAGTCGCTAATTGAGAGGCCGACGGGGAGGAGAATGGCGGTGTCGCGCGCGTTGTCGTACTGTGTGAGGCCGCGGGATATGACGTGGTCGATGAAGCGCGGTATAGCTTCGCGGTTATGCAGAATGCTGTAGGTACCGCCGGTTCGCAGGACTGCGGTAATGAGATCTTCTTCTCTGACTTTGCCGGTTAGAGCTGTTTGGTGACGCGGCTTGGGGCCGTAGAGGATCTGGTCTTTCTTGGGCAGGATACCGAAGTGCATGCGGATGCCTTGGTCGCCTGCGTGCCAGACGTGGGCGATTTGCTCGGCAAGGTCGGAGTTGCTTGCGCATGTCAAAGCTACGACAGCAGTCTTGTTGTTAGGTAGTGGAGTGGAGTGGTGGACGAGCTCACTCATGGCTACTCCTATGTCGAGGCTAGTGTTGGTATCGCAGTCTATGTCGAGATCGTCTGGGTGCAGTCTGTACAGATCGTCACTTGAACCTCTGCTTTTTGTCGAGTTCTGTTCGGTCACGCCCTCTCCCGGACCTTCATCGTGCGGCTTGTCTGCGAGCTCTTCCAGCAGCCACTTGTGAATGGGAATCTGCATCTCAGCTATTCTGTTCGCGGTCTTCATAACATCCCGCAAGATAGCAACACGGCGTCCATAGCAGTCGTTGGCAGGCTTGTCGCGTACTAAAGCGCATATCATGATGTTGCCGCGCTCGGTACCGTATGTTCGCCTGATCGCCTCCCTAAAGTGGCGCCACTGACGGCGGGAGTCCTTGATAGCAGCGGAGACAGCGCGCTGGAAGTTCCCAGGAAAGTCGCTGCGTGGGGTATTTGGACCTGGGGTGCTGACATTTCCAGTGACCTGGTCGATCAAGCCGTTGTCTTTGTTCAGGGTGTGGTGAGTGATGCGTCCAGTGCAATCAATAGAACCTGGCTCAAGCGGGTGGCCTGCCTTTCCAACTGGTCCATCTGTGAAGAGGCCGCCAAAACAGCCTGTCGATAGATTGTGTGGGACCTGCTCGGAGATGTTGTTCTCACCGCGGAGGTCCAGGAAGACAGGTGAATCGATGCGCTTCAGTCCTGGTGGGTTGTTGGGACCAAACGGCGGTTCTGCGTCGTCGGCCCAGTTGCTGTGTGCATAGAAGTCCTGGATTCCATGCAAGGCTCGCCCGAACCCCTCTATGGCAGAACACTTAGCTCGCGTGAAGACGTGCATCTGCAATGCAGGGAACGAGAACCTGCAGTCCAGGGTGCTGATGTCCACTTCAGGCGCAATGATCCTCGCACCACCGTCAACAATCTTATCAGCAGCGTCGATGCCTTCTTCGATCCGGCCTCGCATGTGGTTTATGCATATCTGGAGCTGTTTCGTGGCTTGTTGACGCGTGACCGGATATTCAACTCCCAGGTCAAAAAGTTGAGCATCCAAGAAATCGGCGTTATCGCAGTGAGCCTCTGGACCTTCCGGTACCGGGTCGAGCATGTCTGGAGCGCCCACTGCTCCATTCGAACCTTGACCGACGTAGACATCTGATCTGCCTGATAGCTGGTGCAGGCTCAGCTCTTCGAAGCAGCGCCCATCTGATATTTCCTTATCAGGTGGGCAGGCGAAGGCGGCTCTTGTTATGCGTTCATGTTCGCAATGTTGACCGATAATGGCTGGCTCATTGATAGTTCCGAATCCCAGAACATGGTCGAAAGATACGCAGGACAGCAGCAAAGCTGTCGTATACGCTTTTTGCATTCCTGCAAGGTATGCAGTTGGAGTGGAGGTCCCCGGAAGGTGGTTATTGTGGTCCAAGCGTTCTGTCGTGCCACCGGCCAAGGATCGTATCGTTAGCAAAATGGCTTGAAGTGCGTCAATGCAGTCACCGCAAACTCAGGTAATGACTCGCACACTTCCATAACTCAAAAATGGGTTCGATGAAAGGTGAATGGAAGTGTTCGCGTTGTGGGTGGCATGGTGTTAAAACTCTGACGCAACTGGTGGATGATGCTAGGAATAGCCGCCCGCGGACTCATCAAGCGGGGTGCATCTGCATCCGCCGATATGGACGACGGACTGGTTCTGTTGAAGTCTTGGAAGTTGGCACGAGCAAGAGGATAGCTTTTGGTCCTCAAACTAAAAATACTTGTAGGTTGAATGGGAAAAGATTGGTTGATCTGGGACGCGTGATCTTCGTGCGGCATTGCGCATGACCTTGACCCTGACCACTTGTCTCAGTATTTCGGAGTCGTGAAGTGAAGGAGGATGCAAGCTCATGTGCACGACTTCGCGTCGCGCTAGTAGTGTTGTCTATGGTACATATGTCGACATCCAATTCATCGTGATTCTTCCTCTTCTGAAGCGCAGATGCTCATTGCTGGTACGCCTGTACGCCTCGCTATACCCGTGATGCAACATGATAGACATATGGAAGTGCAGTATTTGCCGGAAAGCAGGAAACATGTGTTCCCTCGTTTGTACACCGTTTATACAGAGGGATATATGTTGCGTCAAATTGTGGGCTGGCGGTCGTGAAAGTGCTCTCACTCGTCAACCAGTGCTCCCAGAATAAGACTCTGGATGACGAACTCGGCAGATGTGACCCTGATTTTGCGTCCAGAGATCTCGCCCTTGGCGACGAGGTCATCTGCTCCTTCGCCATCATCTCTCTTTCTCTTCTTGCCCTTCTTGAAACTTCCCTTCGCGTTCTTAGCAGGCGCACCGGTGCCGAACAGTTCAGCAGCCGCATCAGCGACACTGCTCTGGTCATTGTCGACGTAGACCCAGTCCCACTGCCCTTGCGCGAGGAGTTGCGCCGCGGCACCCAGATCTGCGCAGCGCCCTACATTTGATGCGCCGAGAGCGTGTGTGAGAAATACAAACGGTTGGCGTTTCTCGATTTCCTTCTTGCTTTTGCCAGTGACGAGAAGTACGGACTGGCTTTGAAGCAGCAAATCGCGGTCTTGGAATGTCTTCTCCAACGAGACATCATCGCTTGAAGGGTCGTAGATGCGCATAGCTCGTGAGCGCACGATGCCGTTCGGATCGAGGTACTTTGATAGACCAGCAGGAAGCAGGTAGCGTGCAAAGCTGAGTGCGTGAGAAGCAGACAATGAGTCTTTGACCCAGCGGAGATGAAGACAGGGCACGTTGAGAGCGAGCGCTTGGAGGTACTTCGTGCTGCGGGAGTGCGAGTCTGTGATCAGGGCTACGAAGCCAAGCTTCTTCGAATCCTCCTTCAGGGTCAGTATGCCTGCCCCTTCGATAGCAGGGACGGAGGTCCGGCGGCTTTGAGAAGCTGACAGCTCAATTGACTCGGTGTTGAAGAGCTCGTGGAAGCCTTGCTCTAGGATGTGCCCACCGTTCGTTTTAATAGCTCGTGCAACAGCGTCCTTGTCCATACCGTCGCCGGTGGATGTCAGGACGAAAGCCATGTTCGAGAAAGTGCCGCTACCAGACCGACTCGATGAAGCAACTGATCCAGCACGGTTTGTTGCGTCCTTCAGCAGTGAGGGCGCTGCGAGTCCTCTGCGAGTGAATGAAAGTGTGGTACACGCCTCAGTGGGCACCGGTGTGCCCAGCTGAGAGGCAGGTTTGCTCGGTGACGATGGCGGCGAACGCTGGAAGGTGCGATCACGCAGTCGACTCCATAGTTGTGTAGTGACATAAACGCTCGCGATATGCACAGTGACCTGCTTCGGTTGAGGCACAACCTTTCCTGCTGGAAGGCTATCTCGCTGCTTTTCCTCCAGTATGACGGAGATGTGCCCATAGCGGTCGGTCATCGGAAACTCATAGTTGTGCAGGTTATCGCACTTGTCGGTTAGACCAACAACTACGTATGTGTGCTTCTTCATGCCGGGCTCATCAACTTTGACTTGGTCACCCGACCGGAGGTCGAGCGATCGTACCTGGAAGGCATCCAGAGAGGTTATATTACCATCGTCAAAGCGGACCTGAAGATGTTTCGAATCTGGGCGACCGACACAGGTGGCCGGGTAATAGTGACTGCCCGGCCACGATGCAAATACTCGGTTCGGTACGACTACCTCACCCACTTGGATATCAGCTTTCCTTGGTGTCAAGCGAACGAGAAGTCGCGTTGCAGAAGGTGGCGGCCAACTGGCAAGTTCATCCATACTGTCACCAGCATCGCGCATCTCGACATCAGCAGATTGGTCGACTGATTTCGTAGCTTTTCGGGTGGGTGTTGCTGGCATAGGCTTCTCTGTGGTGGTCGACGCTTTGGGCTTGGATGGTGAGTTGACGGGTGAAGACATGGTGGCGATAACAGCTCTAGCAGACTTCAATGATCCTTTCTTGCTGTTTTGAGGTCTTGCAGGTCGAGACGATCCTTTCGACTTCAATGTCGCAGGTCTACCGTATGCTGCTGTCTGAACGTCTTCCCTGGCCTGTGCTGCAGCAAGCGCGCCTTGTTTCTCGCGCCTTTGGGCTGATGCCGATGGAGGTGTCTCCTCGCGCATCTGTTGTATCTGCTTGAGAGGTGATGGTGGAATCTGCCTTTGGATAGGCTCCACATTCGCGATTTCCTTGACAGGGCTGCGAAAGACACTACTTTTCGCTGCAAGTGCAGTCCTCCGCTTCTTGGCTGCGGGCGTTGCGGGTACAGAGCTGCTCATGTGCGTATCGCCATCGGCGTTATCAAAGCCGCTGAGACATGGTATCTCTATCTCTTCCTCCGCTGCCGATCGCTGAGTGTCCGGTAAATTCGCAATGTCGTTCAAGGAACGAATGCGGCTCACACTGTAGACTGGATCGCTACCTTCATCTTTTGAGCTGGTTGGAGCGGGCCTTTGCGATTGCGAAGCTGCTTGCTGCTCTTGCGCAGTCTGGAAAGCTTCGGTGCCGTTAGTATCTTCTTGGACCTCCGTCTCGTTCTGGACGATCTGAACAGGCAGAGCGTCCTCCGTAAAATAAGAGGGTTGTGTCTCGTCCAAAGTGTCTGTGTCCGGGATCGTGCTCCGGCGTTGCAAGCTTGGTGTAGGTTTCGCTGGCTCTGCAGACTTCTCAGCCCTGAGCTCTTTCAAAGGTTGTGGCGATTGATTCTGAGCAGGGTCGACTTGCTTATCTTCCTCCAGAGTTTCGGGGATCTCTTGATCTGTTCCATCGTCCAACTTCATAGGTTGAATCATTCCTGATTCAGAGTCTGCGTCTACATCACCCTGATCAGGTTCAGCTGCTGCGCCTTCCCCGTTACCGACTAGATCTGGCTCTGCGATAGGTAGATCCTCTTCTTCCTCCATCTGAATGTCGTCATCGCCAGCCGCCGCTTCGCTGATATCGCGATCCTCATCTTCTTCCGGATGCTCGTCGTAGCCGTGTTCATCGTATGTGATCTCATCAGTCAACATTGGCGGGCTGCTGGGCACTCGCTCCTCTTCTTCGGGCGCCTCTTCCTCCTCTACTTCCTCCTCTGCTTCCTCCTCTGCCTCCTCCTCTGCCTCCTCCTCAACTTCCTGACTCATCTGCGGTGGCATTTGTATCATGGACGAGGATATCATCTGGCTCGTATATCCGGTCTTGGACGCAACAGTAGTCTGATTGATGCTGTACTGGTTGACTGACGGCGATGAAGGGAAACGTGTATCCGGCCGCGGCCAACTTTCGTGATTTGCAGTTACATCAGGCTGAGAATCCATGACAGCGACAGAGCCTCTGCTACTATGCGGTGCGGTTCGGAGAATGGACCGCGAAGCCGGTGCTTGTATCTGGGACTCGCGTTGCGGCTGCGACGAGGGGCTACCGCGCTGAGAACCGTTGCCTGGCGTGTGATCTGGCTGCGTGCGTTGTGGATGTGAGGAGGTCTTCGGCACTTGCACACCATTCTCCAAGCCGTTGTATCTCATCGGGGCCTGTGCAGCGACAGCGACATCCTGTGAGAGTTCATCAGGCGATTGGTCAGCCTCGTCTCCTTCTGCTGCGAGATGCTGTGAAGGATCGTTCATCGCCACGTCCTCGTCTTCTTGCACGCCATCGTGCCACATGTGTCGTGATGCTTCGTGCCGAGCTTTCGGCGAGTGCTGAACATCTCCCTTACGCTTGCGAGCGCCGTGCGACTTCACGACCGTTGGCGCTGAGATGCTTGACAGTGACAGACCAGCTTCGCGATGGGTCTGCTCCCTCAGCCTTTGGCGCTGCATGCGCTTCTGGACTGCCGTGAGCTCCTCCCAGCTATCTTCCTGAATGAGAGGTGCACGTTGGGCCCCCTTTGTATGCTTGCGCCTCTCCTGCGACTCCTTCATTGTCACATACTCAGATCGCGGTTCACTCGAGGATCGTATGATTGGGTCTGACCGCTCATTTCGCAGGACCTTGATAGGACTTGAGAGTGCTGGAACAGGACTCGAGTGGCGGACATTGTTGAAATTCGGGGACGGTCGCTGGAAGATGGGATCTTCAGCGCCAGCTACCGCAGGCGACGTGCGCGCTTGAGTTAGATCGAAAGCCTGCGTCAAAGACAGTGGTTGTCCTATGCCCGATCTGCCAAATGCGCCGCCGAAAGCAGAGGCCGAAGCAATAGTGTCTGGTGTAGTCTCCACTCCTGCGGTCGAGCTGAGTATTTGCCCTGAGCTGTTGCGCTTCCTGCCCGCCACTGCCGGTGTCTCGAACTTCAATGGACTGGTGAATGCCTGCTCCGTTCGTACATATGGACCGCGATCGTCTTCGAGGGCTGTTGGGCTTGTGATGGTAGCATCTTGCTGGAACTGGGAGGATACAACGACTTCGATGTCGTCGGTGAGGGGCTCCGCATCGTCCTCATCGTCGTGTTCGGTGAACAGCGATTTGGTTCCTGGTCGAGGAGTCGGCATGCGTGTGGTGGTTTCTGCAGTGCCAAAGATGCCGCTCGTCCATTCTCTGTGCATCTGGCTGTCTGGCTGTGTATCGCCTGGGGCGTCCATGCCGGCGAAGCTGTGGTGCATCTTTGGCGCAATGACCGCGTCCGTCATTGGTGCCGTGTTCATGGGTGCGCTGTTGTGTTTTGTGAGGCCAGGCTTGACATGGTGCGCCTGCGTGGGGGTGTTCGCAGAGACGCGCCGTGGGGAAGGTGCGTGTTCGGGCGCGGCTGGACGCAGCTGCGGAACGGCGCCGAGTAGAGGGTGAGGCGGCACAGTGAAGGTAGAGGCAGGCGCAGAAACAAGGGAACCATGACTCTCAGTGGAGGTGGTGAAGTGGAGGTCCTGCTCGCTGCCTGCGCGCTGTCTGAGCGCCTGCGAGAGTTGTGATGGGTCCTGCGGCGTGCAGAGATCAGCGCTGAGCGAGGTGAAGAGGGCCGAGTCATGCGCTTGCAAGGGTCCTCGCGTTGAGGCAGGGGTTCATTCCTCGAGTGCATGCAAAAGATGAGAACTCACATCGTACAAAATGTCGCTCAGCAGGGTGGACGCCTGAGAGTCGGCCATTGCGCTCAACTAAAGTGCCGGATGCTCTGCCATGGTGGTGTTGCGGCACGTCTGACAGGGGCTAGGTCGAAGTGGCGCCGTCGCGTCGCGTATTCACGTGGGCGCCTTCCACCTCTTTTTGTTCTGCCTGGGTTCGATGACATCAATGCGATCTGAGATAGTTTGGTCGGTCGGCACGAGTGGGTACCTGCACGTGTCTCATGTCTCACGTCTCACGTCTGGAACCACAGTTTTCCTGCAGCACCTAAAAAGTGACATGTAGCCTTCAATCTACTCCAAGACCGACGAGAATGAGGCAGGCCTGCTTTGCATACCTCCCAAAAATTGGGAAAATGCAACGCTGAAGACAGGCAGACGGCAAGTGAACCAGCACTACTTCTGATTCTTAGTCTATTCTAGCGCCAACCTATGCATGACATCTCAATGATTCATCAAGCCATCAATGCCTCTTCTTGGAGTTGGCGTTCTTTCCAGCGCCAACCTTGGGCCGGCCTCCTGCCCTTCCACGGTCACCGGTGAGGATGCCTGGCAGGTAGTCCTCGTCCATAAGGTCCTTGGTCCTCTCCCTCTTGTCCTGGGCTAGCTGCCTCGTGTACTCCTTCTGGTCCTCTGCAAGGATCAGGTCCCTGCCCCATCCTCCCTTTCCTCCACCAAGACCACTCCATTTGGTGTTTGCGGTGCCTGCAATAGGCTTGGGAATGCTGTACTTGTCGCCACGCTTGTTGTAGGTATAGTTTTTAGCAAGGTGGATATGGAACTCGCCCTTCGCATTTGTGCTGCAGGAGACTCGCGCGAGGGTGGCACCACCGCAGCGTGGGCAGAACTGCTTGCTCATGTCCTTGACGACCTGGAAGCAAGCATGGCAGCGCAGGACCTTGGAGGACAGCTTCTTGATGCGCTGCATGTTCGTGGTGATGAGCTTCAGGTTCATCTGAAGGAGCACATTCTGCATAGCGAAATCGATGGTCATGGTCGCTACGTCCATTTGAGTGGGGCCCTGCGTGCGGACATCAGCCTGAAGACCAGAATCCTTGACTTGGTATTCGGGAAGGTTGGACTCAGTGATCCATTCGCCGTCGTCATCATCCTCATCGTCAGATGCGGGAGGCGTAGGTTGTTGCTGCGATTCCTGGCCTAAGGAGATGTCCAGGGTTGACAGGTCTTTCTCAAGAGACTCGGTAGCCGGTGCAGGGTCAGATACTTGCTGCGCGGACTCTGAGGTGCTTTCAACCTCAACAGGCTTCTCCTCTGTAGGCAAAGATGCTGGCTGTTCTTGGGTGACATCTTGCACTACAGGCTCCTCAGACTGTTTCTGGGGCTCGGCCTCAGTCGCTGGCTGCTCGATGGTCAGGTCGTTCTGCGCCTGCTCCGACTTGTTGTTCTTCTTGTTTTGACCCTTTGACTTCTTTGACGACTTCTTGGACTTGGTGACAGTCGACCACTCATCTTCCACTTCGGCTTGGCCGTTTTCCAACGCTGCCTGCTCTTGAGCTGCCTTAGCCGCTTCCTTCGCTTCCTTCTGCTTGCGCGCCTCCTCTTCCTCCTCAGGTCTCAGCTTGATCGGCCCCTTGGGCACTGATCTCAGACCCCAGTCTCCACCGTTCCTTTCGCAGTGAATCTCGTACGCCAGCGCCAAGATTCCCAAATCCTGCCTGCTCAGTACGGCATGATCGCCTGTCTTTTTACTGAAGGCGATGACTGCATCGTAGCTTGCCGGGCTAGGGTTACGAACTTTAAGAAATGGCATCAAGGCAGTGTGCACTCGCATCCTAGTTGCTTCATCTCGAATTTCGGAGATGATAGCTGGAGTCGTGTAGAGTTCCTCGGCAGAGTTGATGATTGTTGAAATCGAGACAACGTTCTTGATCAGTGGGCCAGTATCCAGGATAAGCGAGTGGATAGGCTTTTGGGTTGGTTCGACAGCCATTTTGTTGACAGAAAATGGCGACAGTTGGGTATTAAGATACCTTGATGTGAGATCACACTCAGCTCACACGCTTCTTGCAAGCGATTTTGTCGTTGTCAGAAAAGTCAATTTTCGTCTTACGAAATTTCACAGCAGTGGCGCGGGGTGCAGGTGCACGAAATTGAGAAGGCGCTAACGGGTCTGGGCTTGGCGTTTTGGTCTGCGATGAGAGCAGCGACGCGCAAGTGGTCCTTCCGCGATTCTAGCTCCCGCAAAGTCACTTTCAACATCCAGGAACTTTGCATGCCCATCTTTGCCCCGGCACGCAAGGCTATGATGTCTCATATCGTTCACACCATGTTGAGGTGCATGACTCGCTGTTGAGCAGTATGGATAAGTCCTATTGATCCTGACAGGCAGTTACTAACGCTATGCAGAATCCCTAGCTACTTCAGGTGACTGCTCTACGTATGGCTCCGCGGTCCATAGCTTTCGTACGTGCCATCCTGTTGTACATCACCGACTGTACAGGGTAATCCAACACGGCAGAGCACACGGTAACCGCGTTCGGCACTTATGGGTAATTGAATCGACCACCGGAGTGCCGGTCGGCAGACAAACAACCACAGTGTATCTCCGGGTATGCGCTGGATGTCCTGCCTCCGGTGTTGACGACCCACCTACGTTTCCTAGGCTGAAGGCGTTTGATGGCCGATACGAATACGGTCCTTGTCATTTGCTGCGACGCTCAGTCTATTACAGTTTTCGAAAGCGTATCCTAATGATCCGAACTGTCGGATCCAAGTCAAGCCTCTTCGTCACGGGCCATCGTAGTCTCCAGCTCCTCCTACTCGACACGCTGCTTGGTTCAAGATGTGATGACGATGATACCACTCACATACACGACCTTTGGACGACAGTTGTACGAACCGATCTTCCTTAGTTGCCGTCTCTTCTTCGTCTCATCGCTCGGTATCAAGACTTTGATATGGAATAGCCGCAGTCACTACAGCTGATTCGTGGAGTTGCCGGCCGATCGTCTGCGCTTCAGTGTGTTCCGAGCGAACGACCGGAATGGCTGATTGCAAGAGGCAGTTCAAGGGGCGTTTATCGATCGCTTGAATGTGTCCGAGGCTTTACTCAGTTCGGCTCTGCGGCATGGTCGTTCAAGTCTCCGAGCCGAATGACGCTTGGTCTTGCGTTCGTTCTGGCGTTGAATGCTGATTGGACCCGTCTCGAAGAAGGCTTCAAGCACGACGCTCACCCGAGCATGGTATCTCAACAAACTGTAGCAGCTCTTCGGCGAGCCTCATGTGTACGTAGCCACGAGAGTCGGCTGGCGAGACGAGCAACTGAGCGCTCCGCATTGCTATGCCTCGTCCTTCAACAGCCATATCGCAGTACGCGTGTGTTATTCGTCCGAGTGCGATGGACTTGGGTGCAGGGTCAACGACCATAACGGTCTTATCCGCCCATTGTGTGACGATCCCATCATCGAGAGGTTACTGATGAAAGTTCGAAGCCGGGGGTATGCTTTCGCTCGGCGGCTGATGAGTGCGGGCCAGTCTGCTGGTGACCTCTGGACCGACGAGTGTGACGCATGAGCGTACGCATGACCTGGGGTGATGATGTGGTGCTTTGGGCGTCGTCGACCGGTGAGTATTAATTCGACCTTGCCACGGACGGCGATGCAGTCTATATGAGCGAGGTCGGGCACCAAAACCGTGTCTCCGGTGAGCGATGGAGAGAGCCATGCGGGCTCTCTCAAACCAGTCTGTACATTACTGAGTTGGGGCAGTGGGACGCCAGCCGCTGCAACCGAGCGTTTGCTCTTAACGGGATCAATTCTAGTCTTGTCAGGCACGTTCGCCAATGTGAGCCAAGAACAGCTCGCCAGGAGTGAGAGGGGTGGAAGAGGGTAAGGCAACGAGGCAAACATGCAGGAGAAGAGTCCTTCAGGGCGCTATTCTTTTGCCATAACAGCACTTAGCGTAACCGACCCCGGGCATGCCGTCCTCTACTTAACCTTCGAAATCCCGCAACTTTGTAACCCGGCTCATCAACCTGGCACAAATTTGATTGTCCCAAAGTACGACATGTCCAGTCTGTGGGCTGTTCCCTTCTCCTTTTTTCGACATTTACCGATTTCAGAGACTTGATCGTCGCAGTTAGCGCGCGCGCAGATGGTGGCTTCCGTTGAGTTAACGCGACGGTCCGCTTATAACCCCTCTTGCCACAGAGCAGAGCCGCATCTCTCACGATGATCGCCTACGTCCATTGCTAGTTCCGAGGCTGGCTTCCGTCAGGATGTGGGCTCAAGAAGCATCAGAGCGGACGACTGGATCGGAGATACCTCGCTGACTGCGCCCTACATCCTTCCCAACGAAGCCGCTGTTGGGCCTCTCCGCATGATGATGCAGCACACTCGGCGGGTATCTCGCGAACCGACATGCCACATACAACATGTGAGAACCAGAGCCGATCATTTACTGGAAACGACCTATGGCGTTGAGACTGCAGGGCTGGGCCATCCTTCTCGGAGCACTACGGCGGCCTATCCTAACACTTCTACTGCAGCAGGTATGGATACTGGCGCTCTACTTGAACCGGTCTCCATCTCCCCTGTTTTGGGCTGAATCTGCCGCTTCTGTGGTTGGCCAAGTCTATGCACCACAACAACCCATGTTGTTGCATCACACTTAGCAAGATCCTCGGCTGCTCAATGCATTGCTCACTCGGCTGACATGCGTGATAGTAGCGGAGGCCTGATGGTCTTTCGAATACTTCAAGTCGACATCGGACGACCCTCCAGAGGAGAATGAAACATGTCTGAAAGTACGTGCCTAGCTTCTATATCGAACGTCCCCTTGATCGACCGACATGCGATCCTCCTTACCACCAGCCGTACACGGATTGACGGCACGCGCGCTTCCACGTACTACACCTGGCGGGGTAAAGGAAGCCCGTCGCTGTCCAGTCGGTTAGGTCCTGCAGCCCATGCATCACCACTCTGCCGCCATGACAATCCAGGGCCTTGCTCTAGCTTATCAGAAGCTTGCTCGTGCTTTCGCTGCCACAAAGCAATATGGTGGCTAACGCTGTCGGCTGACACTAGAGTATCATGCCTTCCCTTTTCGGTGTCCTCGAGCAGAGCCGCATCGCGAGTAGGGAAGATAAAGGAGTGGTGGAACTGGGGACATGGCGGCAAGCATTGAAGTGATTCGTGTACATCCGCGGAGAAACTGCCCCAACCGATCGTTGTCAGAACTGTACTATACAACATGAATCATCAACAAGCGATGGTATATCTCCATGTTGTATTCAACGCGTCGAATTCCACTGACTCACATTGTAGCCGGGCTTCATCTTCCGCATCAACGAAGTGCGCGAACACCCGAATGTGCAACCCGCTGTGGATATGAATGGAAATTGGGAACCAACGGCCACCCCCGGATACAACTATGTTGTGTCTGGAGGCGTGACGAACCTGTGGTGGCTTTGCGATGGCAACAGGATTCGTCCTAGTCCGTTGGCTGAACACAAACTACCCCCGGGTATGGTCCACTACAAGACGTATTCACTCTTCTACAGCGATGGCAGAGGTTTCTGGGTGCTACGAGGAGACGCTACAAACCCAACGCACGACGAGCCCTGGCTACCCCTATGTTTCGACCACGACGAAAATGACGGCTTTTCATCGTTCCTGACAAACGCCAGAAGTGAGCCGGCCCTTCGCTGCCGCCGGACGGACCAAACCTGGGTAAAGATGCTTTTGCCTGATGTCAACCACGGATCTGTTGTCGTTGAGTCCAGGCAACAGGGGGCATTGAAAGGAGAACTGCCAATACTCTTGGGCTTGCTAGCGTTCTCTATCCCAATAGAATCGCTGCAACAGTACCTTCCGTCGATGTTCCATAGCGGGACATGGCAGCAGTATGACATGGCAAACGGTCGTACGTAAACCTCGGACATGAATCCGCAAGAGTTCAGATATACTGACGGTCTGTTAAGGCAATCACAAACGCGGGGTAATTGTCGAAGTTTACGCATGTCCTACTTCAAACGGAGGTACCACCGCTGAAGCCCTCAAGGACCGTGAAGATGGTCTCACGGGCAAGTACTACTATTGATACGTCAGCGCACGAGAGGTCGTCAGCCCTGCCGCCATACGCCCTACTGCACCTGCCAAGACCCAGCTACCCGCTACCCGCTACCCGTCTTACCTATCATTCTCGCTTTCCGCTCTGTTTACGTTGGCGACCTTAAATACGTTTAGCTTATCTGATCGAAACATACATTGCCCGGACGCTCTCTAACATATCTCTTACACATCTGCGCAGAAGGACCATGTTCAGATCTCCTATCTGACCGAGATGTATCCACTTGCTGTCAAGGCAGTATTTCCTGGACGAATTGCATCGACACCAGATTGCTGCCACATCGGTCACGCTTGTTAGTCTCATCAAAATTTGTTTCCACCATTTCTTATGGCCAGATTGTTCTCATACCCAGATAGCCACAGACAGTCCTGCGTTATCGATACTGCTTCAGCTCTCAAACAGACCGCCTAGCACCCGGCAAGATCGTTTACACACCATCTGAGATCGGATGGATAATCATAGTTTAGTCTAGCATGCAAAGCAATCCAACATGCTACCTGCCCAGACATATCTTGGTGGTGAGATCCGTAACTCCGCCCAATGCTATGCGTGCCACCCCTGTCTAGAGTCGCGTGTGGTATACAGTACAATTACAACATCCTTCTCTTTACTACATCCAGCTCCTCATTTCGCCGCTCGTAGCGGTTTATGCAATCGGTTTGCTTCTCTCGTCTTCGGGCATTCTCTGCTCACTGTTAGCTTGCGCGCCTCTCCAAGTAATCAAACTCCACCACTGTCCCTCTCGTCCCATACCAATCCTCAAAACATCTCGGACTCACCATATAAGCATCAATCGCCGCGCTGAAGACCGCAAACCCCGCACACCCAACAACCACCGCCTGCGGCCCCGCATTCCTCGCCAACACACCGCCCGTGATACAGCCACCGGCGACTCCATTGTACAAATCGTTCTTCCCCCGGAGCCCCTCGATCGCGCACTCGGTGCCGCTGAAGATCGCGCCGACTTTTGCGAAGTTCTTGCCAGAGGAGATGGAGGAGCGGTACATGTCGCGTAGCCCGTGCTTGAGTTGCTGTTTGAGGGGCAGGTCGGCGATGCCGGTCGCGGCGGTGGGGGAGAGTACGGATGCGGATGCGGATGCGGATGCGGAGGCGGATGCTGGTGCAGTTGCAGCGGCGGAGGGGAGTGTGGAGGTGGAGGTCGCGGTGCTTGTTGCGGCCGCCTTGACGGCGTTTGTGATCGGTGTGCCAGATGATTTCGCTGCGCTCGCTGCTGTCGGTGTGGATGTAGTGGTAGCAGCGCCGGCGGCCACTGGCGACGGGTTTGCGGTCGGTAAGGGCTGGCCCATGGGTGTGTCGTAGCGCATCGAGGCCATGAAGAGTCCGAACATGGCTCCGAGGCCGCCGCCCATTACGCCGGCCATGACGGTTTTGCCGACGCAGGATTCCATGGATGCTTGAATCTGTCATACATGTTAGTGTTTGTGGCTTTGTGATGGGGTCTGTAGGGGGATTCGGGGAGGGAAGGGGAGCGGCGCATACCATCTTTGTCATTTGCACTTCTTGCTCGGACATGCCTGCCGTGGGGTTCATGTTGGCCATCATGCCGTTGGGGTTCTGTGGGAACGCCATCGTGTCGTCTTGTGTTGCGCGAAACGAAGAGACAGCGGCTGGAGAGAGATTGAGACAGATACGCTGGAAAGATTGGTGACTGATGGCGATGCGACGCGATGTCGCTGTGCGATAACTCAACTTTTGCGGAGAACACGGAGATGCCGAATTGGCACGTGCTGTCTGCTGTCAGCCTTGCACTCAAACCTGTCCTCGACACAAAAGGAAAAGTACAATCTGTCGAATACCCGGGGGTTTTCGTGATCAAAACTGAGATGTCAAGGTAGTAGTATGTAATGGATTTTGAAGTCTTATGCTATGCTTCTATAGACATTTGATATCTCCCCAATGCTAGGGTACATGTCAACGGTAACCACGAACGCCTGTTTCGCCATGCTCCGTCGAAAGTGCTATCTACAAGCCGCCATGCTCAGTTCTTCCCCCCCTGTGTGTGTGAATAATATATATGAATAGACAGTCGTTTAGACATTGTGGTCTAGATGCGTAGCGTCGTCAAAATGTAATTCGTCTATACAGATCGTTCGTCATTAAATAAGGTTACCGGGCGATCCTGAGCGACCGATGTAGTCACCCTGTGAGTGACTCGAGAGCCTGGACTCCGGCGGCGGCGTGAGCTGCTTCTCCCACTCCTTCATCAAGTGCGAAGCCGTGCGCTTGAGGTTGGATGGCGATAGATTGACCAGGTCTGGCCAGGGGATCGAGTTGCGCTTGGGGTCGCGTGATGCACTGGTGTCGGGCATGCTCGCAGAGCTGATCGTGGCAAGCGACGAGTTCTTCGAGTCGTGGCGCCTTGAGTGGTACTTGGTGCTGGCTTGGGAGCTGCCGACGGTAGATGACGGTGTGTCTGACTCGTCCGAGTCGTTGTGGGTCCCTGTTGTCTTCGCGACGAACGTGGTGCCAGGGCTGTCCCAATTATCCCAGTCTTCTTCGAAGCTGTCGCTGTTCCTGGCCGTTTGCTTTTCGGGGGTGCGGGTGGCCTTGGGCGCATGAGTCTTCTTGTTCACGGAGGTGGTCTTGGGTTCACTCAGACCATGTTCGGACCAGAAATCTTCTCCGATCGATTGTTTCTTCTGCACAGACTTCCTGGAGCTTGCTGACCGGTTCAGGGATGGCCTGCTAGCGGATGTGTTTCGAATCACCTTAGCGGATGGATCCCTGTTCTGTGAGGGCCCAGAAGACTCTGCCGCCGCCCCGTTGACAGCTTCGTCGCCCACGGTGGCCTGTCTAATGTCCTCGATGAAGGTAAACAACCCGTTGCTGAAGTCGCTGGCCAGTTGCTTGCCAGTGCGCAGGATGTTGTCGCGCTGTATGTTTGGCAGTCCGCCAAGGTCGTTGCGATCGTTACTCGTCACGTCGATGAGCTGCCTCGATACATCGGACGACGTTGAGGATCGAACGGGAGGTGTCGGTCGCTTGATGGTGGACCCGCCACTGGGGACTTCGACTGGTTGAGGGAAGGACGGCGCATAGGCTCTATCAGGCGACAACAGCGAGAGAGTGCGCAGGTGGCGTGATCCACTAAAAACCTTCCGCTGAGAAGACTTTGTGTTGCTGAGCAGAGCCTTCCTGCGCTCCATCTCGCGCTGCATCCACAGGTTGCCTCCATCTTCATCATCGTGTGCGGCGTCGATGTTGGCGAGAGTAGTGTTCAACGGCTGCAATTGGGCGACCTTGCGGACATCATTGCGCCGTTTGCTTGCTTCGTGAAGAGCGTAGTGCTTCTTCAATGTCTTCAGATCCTCTTCGGCTTTGCCAAGCTCTTCCCTAAGCTCTAGTACGTATCGCTCTTGCGCAGCAAGAACGGCGAGGATGTTGGTCTCGGGCGACGGCGGTTGGGCCTCAGGTGAGGGAAGTGGTGACGGAGCTGCGATCCAGGACTGAGGTCGTGACCGAGGGGAAAAGACCGGTGAACTACTGCCAGCAGTAGGTTGAATTGGGAATTGTAACGACAAGCGCTTGCCCTGTCTAACGATATCGGCGTGCGACGTTGTCTTTGAACGAGCGTGAGAAGGCATGGAGGGAGGAGGTGAGGGATGGGAGAGGGTAGTCGAGGATGAAGAGGTAGCAGAGTCTCCGGAGTCTTGACGAGAAGGTTTCGCCCCTGATGGTATTGCAGGGTTACGTGTAGATGGCTTGTGCGGCGGTGACTCTGGGCGGTCGAGGGCCTTTGCGCCTTGAATGCTGGCACTCGAGTTCATATCATGCTCCTGGGTGGGCATACAGACGGAAGACGAAAGCCTCAGGCGTCGCGACAGCCGGAGCAAAATTAGTGCAGAGGTGGTTGGGTGACTGCCGTGCAGTTCTAGGTATAGCGTAAGAAAGGCGACCGATAGGCTGGCCAGACGCAAACAGCCTTTGGCGGAGTAGAGCACCCACGAGAACCACGTCTTCAGCAGAGTCGGGCTGGCAGTGCAGGAACCCATACCAGACTCTTTGGAGCGTGCATTTCTCGAGAGCGGAAGAGGGGTCGATTCGAATTATGGAGATAGCTGCACAGCAGCGGTCCGTAGTTTTGTGATGAGTGAGTGCTCAGACCACCCAAACAATCCATTTAGGAACCCGAGTCCCCCTGTGACACTATCCATGGACTGGCCTGCGGGGCTAGCGTAATTGAGGCGGGCGTAGGTACGCGTGGTGAGCTGACGGGTCATCTGGTGAGAGTTGAGCTTTTTCGCTGTGGACGGGTTTTGAACTTGTTCACCGATTTTTTGAGGTTTGTTACGTCTCGACCACCAAAACCTGAAACTTATCTCGAGAGTCACGCTGGGGTACTGAGGGGCTGTATCCATTTTGTGTTCATTTGACAGCACGAGCCCAACACCCAGGCTAGTCCACCGTCTTTAGCAGCCATGATGAAATCTGCTGCTCTGTCCTAGGATCAACGCGGCTTGCCGCTGTTTCCAGCTCATCACGAAACATGGATCTCGGGTCAGGCACGACGAGTCCGTCCCCCGGTAGCCTGGGGACACGCCTCTCTGGAATTCTCTTGGTGTCTGTTGCTGCTGTGACGACCTCGGGAGTATGTCATTGTTGGTCTGAGCGACGCCCACGACCTGCGTACGTGACCAATGCCAGTTGGGCATAGCAGCTCTCCGCAGAGAGACCAATTGACACAGCGACAGCAGTCCATCCGGGCAGCTGACAGGTCCGCATGCAACGAGGCTTATGCGGGGCAACTCTCCAAGCATTCAACAGGAATGAAACTGACGCAGGTACGGAGCTTGACGCCGTTTCGCAGACGGACGCTCACTACGGGCGCGGCAAGCAGAGAGCCTTCAGCTTCACCGAATTTTCTGCTGCATGGAAACCCATCTCTATTGTCTGCTCCAAGATCGTTCTGTGCACTTGCGCGTGCGTTGACGATCGTGCGCAGCGCTCATGGCGGTGGGGCGAGCTCTAGGGCTTTGTTTACGCTCTGACTCGTTGCTAGGTGACGGTGACGCAGGGTCCAGCACCACCTCGCGATTTGGATATACTGTACCCACTCCACGGCCGTCATTCAGCTGCATCACCACCACCGCCCTATTTCTATCCGAACTCGCTCTACCAAGGACTCCCGCCGTCCACCATCCTCAACCTGGATTCCACCACCGATTGAACATCCCGAGCGCCTGCATTGTTGTAAACAACAATAGCTCACACATCTCCCAAAATGGCGGAGAACTACCAGGTTATGGAGGAGCTGGGCAGTCAGTGTTTCAGATGCTCGCTATGTTACTTTAAGGCTGACAGGCGTAGGCGGGTCCTTCGGAAAGGTGTACAAAGCTATCGAGCGCAGTACGGGCGAAACGGTTGCTATCAAGCACGTAGGTGCTCTTGCATTCCACATAGGGCTCACATGCTCACGTGCCTAGATCGACCTCGAAGACAGCAACGAAGAACTCGCAGACATCCAAGCAGAAATCGCGCTACTGAGTACCTGCCACAGCCCATACATCACCGAGTACAAGACCAGCTTCGTCAAGGGCGTCAAGCTATGGATCGTTATGGAGTACCTCGGCGGTGGTTCCGCTGCCGACTTGCTTGCGCCGGGACCAATGAGCGAAGCACACATTGCGATTATGTGTCGCGAGCTTCTGCTCGGTCTTGATTACTTGCACTCAACCGGCAAGATCCACAGAGACATCAAGGCTGCCAACGTGCTCTTGACGGACAAGGGCAAGGTGAAACTGGCCGACTTCGGTGTCGCTGCACAGTTGACGAACATGAAGTCGCAGCGCATGACGTTTGTCGGAACACCATTCTGGATGGCCCCGGAGGTCATCCAGGAGGCTGGCTACGACTTTAGGGCCGACATTTGGTCGTTGGGCATCACTGCCATGGAACTGGCTGAGGGCGCACCACCATACGCTGGATCGCACCCCATGAAGGTGCTCTTCACAATTCCCAAGAACCCAGCCCCACGCCTTGAAGGCGACCAGTTCAGCAAGGAATTCAAAGACTTCATCGCGCAGTGTCTGATCAAGGATCCAGATCGACGCGCCACTGCGAAGGAGCTGTTGGAACACAAGTTTGTTCGCCGAGCTGGCAAGGTCGAAGCTTTGCGCGAGTTGGTCGAGCGCAAGCAGATGTTCGATGCGAAGAAAGACAAGGACGATGTGTCGCACCCGAAGTACTACGAGGAGACTATGTAAGTGCACCGCCTTCGACCCACAGAGAAGCACCTAACACGGCCATAGGAAGGACCTCTCTCCAAAGGGCGAGTCGGACGACTGGACTTTCGATACAGTCAAGGCTGGCACTGTGGCTCCAGCAGCACGTCAGACAGCCAGACGGCGCAAGCTTGCTCGCATACCTTCTGGAGACGAAGAGGCAACCGCATCTCTAATGCAACATATGAACCTGGACGATGCACCTTTAGGTGTCGTTACGGATTCGCCAGTACCAGTCCGCACTCGATCTTCATCTCGCCAAACATCTTCCGGAACAGCGTTCCGCGTATCTTCAGGAAACACGCCCACTGCTCGACGCGTTAGCAACGCACCCAAGCAGCCCCTCGGCGTGGATCTCACCTTTGGCAATTCGCCTTCGACTGTCCAACGCTTCAAGCGGATCTCTAGTGGAGAACGCCACGCAGCACTGCGATCGAACCCACCTACAAACCAGAACAACTCGTTTCACCCCAACCCAAGCGCTGCGACATTCCGCCCATCACCACCCAACGCCGATCTCATGTTCGACGTGAACGACGTCAACAACGAGAACGAGCCGCCAGAGCCAGAGTATCCGCCTATGCCGGTCACAAAGGATGCGCTCTACGGACGTCGAGCGTATAGCAAGGTCCTTGATGGAGTCTTTCAGGAGGCCTACGCGGACACTGGGTCGCCGCATCAGCGTGAGGCAATGGGGCGGGTTGCTTCTGCTTGGGCTCAGCTTGACGAGATTGACCCACAGGGGGAGTTCATGTTGCTGAAAGCTATGGTCGACCGCCTCAAGGCAGATTCGAAGCTTGCTGCAGCTCTGGGTATCGAGGCACCGGCGCCACAATCACCGCTCAAGCGTAACAACACACAGGGAAGCGAAACAAGCTACGGTGGCACCACGATCCATGGAAATGGCACAACCCGCATCCGCTCCAACACAAAGCTATCTTCTTCGTCTCTCAGCAAGTCCTCGGCATCAGAAGACTACGACTCCCCGTCTGCCCCCGTCGACACGCCCAACGGCACACCAAACGGCTCGCCCACCAAGGGACCTAAGCTTGTCCTCGCGCAGAACAACCCTCATCTGAAGTCTCATCGCCGCCGACAGAGCGCGTTTGTCGTTGGTGAGAAGTCATTCGGCAACGACTCTCTGCCTATCGTCGACGAGAAGAAACTGCCAGGCCACGTGGAGAAGGGAATGGAGCAGCAGGGCCTTCTCGCCGACATTCTATACGGACAATGGATGTCTGGCTTACGCAGTCGATGGCCTGCCACCAGCTAGATACGAGATCCTGACCTGATCTCTGTATTGGTCTCGGCTCATCTGCATACCACATCACAGCACACGTCTTGGCACGTGGTGCTCATCTTGAAATCATGCACATATCTTCATGTCTCTCTTTGTTAGCACTTATCACGATCATGACTCACGACCCTGACGACACGCCGGTTGCGTTGCGTTGGAGTAGTGAATCGCCTGATTTTGGTAGCGTGCGATTGTACGCATATGAAAAGGCGTTTTTGGTTGCTTTCCTTCTCTTCGTATACTATTGTGAGCGCCTCTCTTTGTACCGGCGAGCCAGGAAGCAAGTTGGTGTGGCATTTGTGTAAATAGACTAAGGTGGGCAGTGTATAATAGAATACGAACTGCATCTACCTCCAAAAACACTCTGATCTTTTCCAACCCGCATGTTGCCAAATGACTTCCCTACCTTCGCACGGCTCACATCAAGTGAGCTTTTCCAAGCACATACTCACACACTCCAAGCTGCTCCATCACCTCCGCGAACCGGCCCAGTGCCTCTAGGAGCTCCGTGTCCTCGTGCTCGCCGTACAGCAGCTCATACACAAACTCTACGAGCGCCGTGCATGCTTCTTGCTTTTCCTGTCGCTCAAGTTCCGCATTCCACAATTCCATGAGATCGTGCTTGATCTCTGCCCAAGGCCGAAAGACTGAGGTACTCGCGGTAGTGGGCATTGCGTTGAGGGCTGATCCAGGTGTTGAGAGGAAGGAGATAACGAGGATGAGGGAATGCAACTTCATTGTGTGGGTTGTTGGTGGAGGGAAGCCTGTGGGGGAGGGAGTTATAATTTCTATCTGACTGACGGCATTGATCCAGTATGGGAGAGATTGTGTGATGCGTGTTTGTTTGCGAGAAGTTTTTTGGGATTGGTGCTGGTCTTTTCGCTCTCAGGGTCTCCCCGCCACGTTCTGATCCTTTCCTTTCCTTTCCTTTCGCGACAATTCTTCGCCGCTTACCACGCGCGGCCATGACCGGTACGAGAGCCCATCGCAGCCCGCCGTACGACCTGTAACCCCGACAATTGCAGGCAGTTCCAGCACAGCTAGCTCGTCAGAGCGAGCAACCTCGTCACCAGCAATGCCCTCCTCCCTGCACTCAACAGACGCTTCCAGCTTATCCTCCACCTCAGCGCTCAACCCGTTCAGCCGAGATGCGAACCACCAAGACCTGCTTATCTTCCTTCCTTCCACTGAGTCGAACCCCTTCGCCGCCTGCACCGACTGGCAAACTCTAGGCTTCGAAGACCCCCACGCCACTCGCGGTGGACGACGGTATGCTGCGGATGCTCTTGCGGATCCGGGGGAGTGTAATATGGAGATTATGGGTTGAAGGGGGTGAGGTGTGTGTTTGAGTGTGTGGGGAGGTGTTGTGCTGGAAGGAGGATGGGCTGGGTAGGGTTGAGATTTTGCGGAAAGAAGATGTAAGACACAGACACGGAAGCAATGAGCTGACTGACGAAGTTGAGTTTGAACGCTGCTGATAGAGTTATAGCTCTTCATTAATATTATCATCGTGGTTATTATCCTTTTGCGGTACCGACCATCTACAAGGGCCCGTTGCCGAAGCGCTTAGCATACATACCCAGCGCCTTGATTGGGAAGATGAACTTGTAGTTTGGGTAGGAGATCATACTGCCACTTGTTAGCTTATTTCTCATCAACGCATCAAGATCATGCTTACCAGCTCTTGTTAAACACTCCCTCAATAGCCTCCTGCTTCCACTCTCCATTCGCCTGCTGTCTGCTCATGATCATCTTAAGTGCCTTCCTCAACGGCTCCTTATCCGGGAAGCCTCCCTCCAGCATCGCAATAACCACCCATGCAGTCTGCACAACCTGGCTCTTCTCATGCTGGCAATACTCGCCAGTCTCACAAGACTTATACGTCTCGCCCCAGCCACCATCTTCCATCTGGCGATCAAGGAAGAATTGACATGCCCTGCGCACACGCTCGGAGTTCTCATACGTCTCACCAACACTCTTGAGAGATTCCATGGCAAACATGGCAGCGTACGTGAAGCAGATACCCCAAGCGCCGTACCAAGACCCATCGGGCCGCTGCGCAGAGCGGATGTAGTCGACAGCACGGTCGCGGAAAGCGACTATTTCTGCGCTGCGGTAGGAAGGGTAGTGTTTCTGGAACATCTGCAGGGCCGTGACAACAGCGGTCGTACACTCGACGTAGTCGTACTCGATCATGATTCTGCCGAAGACTTCGGCAGCATTGAGGTGCTCAAGCAGTTCGGAGCCGCGGGTCGGTTCGTAGGATGCGCAGCCACCGGAGGAGTTCTGCATTGTGAGGAGGACATCGATTGCGTCTTTGAGTCTGCGCTCTTCGACGAGGGTGGGGTAGTCGTGTTGGTTTTGGAGAATGAGGGTTGCTTTGAGACCTTCTGATGTGCAGTCGCTGACTGCGTAACCTTGTTTGCGCGTGCTGAAGCCCCAGGCGCCCTTTCGTTGCTGGCGGTAGCATGCTTGCTGGTCGTCAACTTCCGCCAATATTTGTTGGTCCTCAAGGAACTCCAGAGCCTTGGTGAACATCGGGCGGTACTGTTTCTGCGAAAGGAAGCCGCATGAGTCGGCCGCGAGGACAGTAAAGGCTGTATCCCAAGTCTGTACGCCATTTGTGCCGTTCATAAGCATGCCTTCGTCTTTCATCCAAAGAAACTCGGGCAGTGTCTTCAGATGCTCCTGAAAAGCGTAACCTTCAGGACCATGCTTGATATATGCACATAGCGTGTTCATAGGTCCGTTGACTGGTCCAAGGTTCGAGAAGTCCGTGTTCTTGTCCTCCGCTTGGATCAACCACCAAACGTGCTTTTCCGCGCGCTCCACGAGCCATGCAGGCCTTAGGTAAGGACCCCAGATGACCGCAAGGAACCAGAAGAGCAGCTTCAGGATCCAAGCCTTGGGATGATAGTCGTCCATAGGAGAAATGCTGTTACGGTGCGCACTAAATGTGATAGTTTCGAATGGCTGCGTAAGTAACTCTGAACGCAGTTGTCGCGTCAAGTCGTTCAAGGGATACGACCATCGCTTGGAGTAAACATATGACATAGGCAAGAAGACATGGCGCATATGGATCCACCAGCGCCACGGTGCGATGGGCATCCAGTCCGGTAGCAACCACAGCTCCGGTGGCACAGGGTTGACAATATCCCACTCCATGACACCAAGCACGCTCAGCCAGAACTTCGACCAGTGAGGTCCATTGAGTGCTCCGCCCAACTTCCATAGCGTGCTGCGCGCCTTCTGCATTCTAGGGTCCTCTGGATCTACGCCGAGCAATCGCAAAACTGTATAGTTCATAGCTATGCCGAACACGCTGCTCTCGCCCTCGATGTGTAGCCCCCAGCCGCCATCTTCGGGATGCGCGCGCGCGAAGAGGTAATTCTTGATTTCGATTGCCCGTTCGGTTGGGATTGGTGTCTCGGTGACATACCAGGTGATGACCAGCCCGGGGAGGAGGAACATAGGTCCGCCATACTCGCAGGCCCAGTTTCCAGGCGGTAATTGGAGTTTCGAGAAGAAAGAGAGTGCATTTTCGGCGGCTTCGAGCGGTGTCTTTGCGGTCCGGAGTTCTGGGAGGCCCTATCAACTTCGCAATTAGTCTTTGATTTCACAGGGCAGACATATAGTCTTTTGCTGCGCCAGCAGTGCCGTGACTTTCAGACGTACCGTCTCCATACCCAAGAAGTACCTGTCCGCTGCACTCTGTGGCCACTCCTCTACCTCCTCTTCACCCTGCAAATAATGCCATGTCTGACATCCCCGGTCATCTCTTAGCCTCCACCTTGTATAGTCCGTCTTCTGATCCCTATTTGCGCCGGTCTTCACACCGATAGGTACTTGTGTATGGCCGTTCGCCCCACGTTTGGTCATGCCGTTTGTGGCGCCGTTCGCCGTGCCATTGGTCGCGTGTTGCATGTTTATTAAGTAGTCGTGTACGTCGTGATTATTGTGTAAATCTCACACTGGCATCGTGGAGCGCATGTGGGATTGTTGAATATTTGAGGTGACTTTTGGTCGGACATCTTGGCGTGAGCAAAGGCGCGTTCGACGGCGAATCACATGTCTTTCTCGGACATTGTGAGTTGAACATCTTCCTGTAATACACACGCGACGTGCAACTCTCGGGAACCTTGGGAGCTACAGTGTAATGTTGCGCACGGAAAGCTTTCCTCGTGAAGTTTACTGTACGTTTCTATTGCGCGGCCTTACCAGTGGCAGAGGTAAACAGCAACTCCACCTCGTCTACAGGTTAAGAGCAACTGCGAGACCGAGAGCGAACAACAGCTGAATCATGCTTGGAGCCATTGAGCACATTCCTGAGTCGACACAAAAATCCATCCAGTTCGCAGGATTCACGACAATTCCTCGGCACCCTGGGCAGGCAGATTCGGATGATCGACAAATAGCAGCGCATCGGCTCACAACAGCCGGTCACACCCATCCTTTTCCACCTTGCTCACATCATCACATGTCGGACGCTCCGTGCATCTCCACTTTGAGCCTTAATGTGGAGATGTAAAGGGGGTCCGCGGGAAGAGCTTTGCTCCGGGCGCCGAGGCAGGTGTGATGGCATCATGGGAATCGTGATCGTGATGCTGATAGGGGAGAATTGCATGCTCTGAACCGGGGTGTGCTCCGCGATGAGTCGTACCATGTTCATCGAAAGAGGATCGTGGTGGCCGAATGAGGGATTTGCATGGCCCACGTGGGCATACGTAGAATTGAAAGGAACTGTGTAGACTGCAGGGGTGGGGACCAGATGTGAAGGCAACGATCGGTATTACTTAACTCGTAGTTGTACTATTCTTTCCTTAACGCTCAGTACTATGTACAGCTAATTCAACGAGCGACCGCCAGGGCGCGCTTATGCGCAAATGTCAATGCCAAAACGCGTGTGAAAAACCAATGAGTTCTATGCAACGACCAAACAAGTCCCAAAAACCTCAATGCTGGAGTAAACGCCGTGAAAACACCGCTCATCGCTGTACTCATCCACCATAAGTCTTCAATCGTCGTGTCGTCTGTAGGGTGTGGGTATCGAAGAATGGAAAAGGAAGGCTTAGTCGCTATCCGCATCCGGATTGGCGATGAAAAGACGCGTGTTGCTCATCGTCGTTGTCCGCTCGTCCACACTGCCCTTTCTCATCAAATCAGAGTTCTTGATAACTTCGAGCTTCGGCAGTGACTTCATTGGGGCCACGGCGCCAAAGTTTCGTTCCTCGCTACTGCCGCTGCCGGTGGAGAGATTTGTCTTTGTCTTCTCAACAAAGTAGTCGTTCGCTTCGTAGTTCGGGTTCGGTGTGGGTTCCTCAGCCAGGTCGCCGAGTTCGTCTGGTGACGAATTTTGCGGAGGTGAGGAGTTGGAGGAGATGCGACCGGCAGGGTTGGCGTAAGAGATGCGGCGGCCTGAGCCTAGCGAGCTGCGACCAGAACCGGTGCGGTGGTGGTACTGTCCTCCAATCGAGCCATTGTCGTCATCGTCGCCCTCGTCTACCTCAGAGGCGCTCAGGCGCATGGGCACGCCCGTACCGGTGTAGGTAGTGGGCGCATACAACGTAGCCTTGGGGGCACCGTGATGGCGCACCTTGGATCGCACGCCGGCAGCCATGCTTGAGCTGCCTGAAGGACCCCGTGCAGGAGCGTTCTTGCCGCCAGCGACTTCCATGTTTGCTCGCATCCTCGCCTGGCGCTGCTGGGCCTGAATGCGAGGGTCCTCATACTGGGCCCTGTCACACCAGACCGTGGCCTTCTGTTTCCGCATGAGGGCGACATAGGAGGTGGGCGAGGTGCCTGAGCGAGTGGACGAAGAGCGGCGGAGGGCACCGCTGTTGGAGCGGTTTGGCGTGCCGGTGGTCGAGCTGGTCGACGACGTGGGCGTGCGGCGCAGAGAGCTCTGGTACTGCGAGGGGTACTGGGGATATTGCGAGTTCATGGTGGAGGCAGTGGGCGAAGGAGCAACGGGGAAGACGCCGGAGGAGGTTGTTCGTGTGCGGGAGTGGCCCATCTGGCCGTCGCTGTACTGTCCCTGCGGCGGTCGCACCGCGATACCGGGATTTGCTATAGGCTTGCGGCGGACGGGCAGTGGCATTGCACCACCGTAGGACGGGACCTGTGAGGGTTGTGCCATCACAGCGGCCTGCATGTTTGCCCTCTCCTCGCTTGACGATCACAAACGCTGAAACACGGATCGACACAGCCTTGACGTCAAGGCAGGCGCGTCAGGACAGGAACGGTAGGAGCAGTGAATGGCAGTTGCACTCAGCGCGGGAGCTACCAGCGCGTCCACAGAGCGGCTCTGTATGTTTATGTACTGGTAATGGTGATAGGCCGTGTGCCACTTGGCGCCCCGCTTGCGTGCGTGCGTTCGCTGCAGCCCTGCAGAATTCCGAATGCACTTACTTCCAACCGCTTCCAGCGATGGTCTGATGCGCTGAGAGAGAATTGGTGATGCTGAGGGTAGGAGTAATCAGACGGCGTCTTCACGGAACCTTCGAGTAGCAGGAGAATTTTGCGACCTGTGGGTGACTGTCGCGGGTTGCCGTGGATCGCGGTGTGAGTTGCCTTAATGTATCAGGAAGGGAAGGGCCTCTGGTTGTGCCACAGCGCTAGGGAAAGCTTCTATCGAGAGCTAAAGAAAGAATTGTTAGTTGCGAACACGAGCCACTTTTCAACTCAGAGGAGCTCATCTGACGCCTGCGTTGTTCGAGCATAGTGCCGAAGGCGCCAGGACAACGTGGGCTCAGCGTGCGTGCAGCGTGTGGAGGCATGGCGCGAGAGCTGACTTACTCTTCCGTCTTGCGTCCAATCCAATGTAGTAGCGGGCGCACAACCTCATTCAGCGCCCTGAGGCTAAGGCAACGTACGCGAGATGAACTCGAGGAGTGTAGCCGGCTGTGTCAGCGACAGTAAGAGAATGTGTAGATGCTGCATGCAGTAATAGTTGAGTTGCCAATGCGAGCTGCCCGTCTCAGACGCGGACACGCGAAAGTTCTTGTATGCTTCTCCCGTGCTTGCCGTTCCTCTCGATGGCGCTAGGTACTTGAGCCATTCTTTGGCCCACCCACCATGACGGAATGCCATGAACTGCTCCGACGGCGTGCTCGACGATGCGGTAGCTCAGCGCTTCCAACATGATCCCATCCCTGCCATGTCCATAGCATCCTCAACTAACGCTTGAAAACTTGGAATTCGCAGGACGTGAAGTCCAAACAACCGCATCCCGGAGTCTCGTCCGAATGCGGCTTACAGCTATGGCGCGGCAGAGCTGACCATGGTCATGTTCCTTGTCTACTGCACTTGCTCGCTGCATTCACAGATCCCGCTGGCATGGCGTCGAATCACCTCCAGACATGGCGCCCAGCACGCGAGAGCGTGCGGGCGCTGAGTCGCTGGCAGTGAGTGATCGACTGTTGCATCGGATACATCGCGAGTGCTACGTTTGACAGATCGCTTGTATGCTGCCATGTGTCTCTGATCAATTGCTGTACTCCAAGCGCCAGCTGCTTGGACACAATGTTATGACCTCAAGTCATTATCCGAAATGCCTCACTAGGGATGTCAGATCACGATGCTTCAGGTACAGTGCCTGTGCCCTGTTTTTAAGGCAGTCTCTCGATAAGCCCTCAATGCGGCGTTAACCAAGTTTGGGAGCATCACAATGTGGAAAAGCCTCTGCACCCCAAGCGCCTTGATCGTTTCATGGCCGCACAGTTGTTGAACCGCTTGCTGTTCCTTGATGATGAGCCGCTACGACCCCCAGGTGGGGTTGGTCTGCATGCAAGCTCATGCAGCCGCGCAGAGCATCCCACTTGATCTCTGCCCCCCCGCTTGTTAACGAACAGCCGAGCAAATCCACGAAAATCACGGTGCTCGCTTCAGTTTTCGTTGAGATTCGTTTGACGAACGGATCGCACAACAGAATTGTCGTTCGTCGCCGACGTCAAATATCGAACACAGCCACCTCCCTGCAGTGACCTGTATCGATTGCCATCATAATTGTGGAGTTGCCAGAAAATATAGAAAACTGGAGATGTGGCGTAGCATCCCAGAGCAACATCGTCCAACATAGGGACCCTGAAAAGTTGAACACGGTAAGCAGATGCTGATCTCTTCGTGTTGTGTACAGGGGAGGCTGCTGCGACCCCCGTATCCGGCAGTTTATTTTTGCAACAACACGGAGAAATGTTTGTAGGCTTTCGATGAATTGAAGACCTCATTGTAGTAGAACGTTGGTCACAAGCGTATATTGCATCGACCGAGAAAAGCTCCGGTCAGATGGACTTGGTGTTTCTGAAGTCAGCACCGGTGAAGCACTCGCCGTGGCGTCAATGAGCAGAATAATTAGTGAGTTAGTCTCAGTTAATGCCGACTGTTAGAGGCCCGTCGAGCGGTGAGGTTTGTCGCGCCGGCCACTTGGAGACGAGAAGAGGGGAAGGCACGACATTAGCCCTGGTGTTGACGCTTGCTCGCCTCAATTTAGTCCACCACTATCGATGTCGTGATACGTGTGAGCCGGCGCAAACACCAGCTTTGATGGAAATGCACCTGCATCGTGCGACAGCGACAGGCCACGACTTGAGCTTCTCTTATCGTGGACTGCCTTTTCCGGTTGCTAGGTTGTGCGGCATCCCCACGATCCGCTCGCTACGGTTCATGAGTGCTAGCGTACGATAGTATCGAATGGCTTGTCCCGCTGCCAGATGTCTCAGCGTCGCCGATCATCTGATCTGGCCTTTCGCTACATGTTGACGGAGAGATGGTAGGCTTTCCGGGGAGCGGGTGGCATGCCGGGCCGCCTTTCTGTATGATTGCACATAGCTTATGCATGCATTGACCAGCATGCCGAATGCTGGTGAGTAAGCAGAACGTGATGTGTTGGAAACGTGATATTGGCGAGCATGACAAAGTATTTGTTCATGCTGACGAGTCGTCACCCGAGTACATCAGGCGTACCTGAACTCACCTGGTTGCTTTTTCCCCCAAATGCTGAACCAATATGTATATTGTCGGCCAAATTGACCCTCAATACACGAAAGGGACCAAGTGGTATGGCGTCTGTTGCTTGAACTTTCCCCAAGCCTCGCCATATCTCTTCTCACAGTACTCATTGAGTACAGGTATTGCCCGCGTCGAAAAGTCGATCGCAAAGAGCGCACCAACCAGCGCAGCAACCATCGCACCAAGAGCCCAGCCACCACCGGCCAATGCATAGCCTGCCCTCCAGATCGTATATCCACCATATTTGATGTGACGAGCGACCTGCCAAAGCCCTCCGATGTAGGCCTTGCCCTTGTTCTTTGGGTCTGACTTGAAGCGTTTGCGCTGGATCTCTGCCACAAGTTCGGTAAGGATGCCGACGGTATACAATGTCCCGCCCACGACGAGAGATGGCTGAGGGAAGTCTGTCTCCTTGGAAGCTGATGTTGCGCTTAGAAGGAAGGCATAGCTGCTGATACTGTTGAAGAAGGCGTTGCCATTCCAAGCAGCACAAGCCTGTACGGCGACAGGCCTAGATTGTCAATGGCAGCTATGCCTGTATGCGCTGGGGGGCCTGGAGGAAGTGTTCGAAGTTCAAGACGGTGCAGGATCGGCGGACCAATGCCATGAGCAAGAACACCATATTGGAGAACCGGCTCGGCTGCGCGAAGCAGGAAAAAGGTCGCTTTGCCAGCAGGTGTTGGCGTATAGTCACCTCGGGATATCAGATCCAACTTCTTGGAAGCCTCCGAACGAGGGTCATTGTGGCTCATTGTGCTACTCTTGATTAGCTCGAGATATGTTAGCGTTGTTTATCAACATTACGTGATCGCGATGAACCGGACGTGTGAGGGTGATAGCATCGAACGCAGGCTTGAGACAGTGTACATCGTGATTCAGCGTCCAGGTGACGTCAGGAAGGCTAACGTCCGAGCGCGCGAGTTTGTGGGTAAGGAGCATGGGAGGCACTACCCATAATTCCCCTCTTAGTGAAGCCATACATCAACGAGAATGAAGTACTGCATCAACTGGATCGTGGCCTCGATCACAGAAACCTAAAGGTCTTCAGCTCACTGAGTGGATCTGTCTCCCTCTTCGGTACTAGCTCAAGCGCGTAATCCCGTGATGTTTCACATTAGCGCGTTTTCCTTTGACCAGTCGGGTAAGCCACCCCACCAGTTCTCTTTCACGTCACACAAAGGGTGCATTGTACGCGCCCAGGGCCCCAAGTTCGAGGGTCTGTCCGCTCATTTACTCATTTGGATGCTTGCATCTGCGATTTGAGTATATCTACCATGACACATTGTATATTCCAGCGATTTGGCGAAAGCGAAGGTCGTACAGTGCTTTGTTGGAGATACTGAAGAGTTGGACACACACTTGGAGCGATCGTCGTATATCGCAAGAGTAGTTACGAAGCATGAGAGAGCTCCGTACCTTGAGTCCAAAGCCGGTAATCGACTTGGAGAACTCGACATTTTTAAACGGAAAGCGTGCTGCGAGGAGAGGCTGAACGGCTCCTACCTTACACACTTTCGTTACATCCATAGTGCCTCGACCGCATTCAATTACTGAGACCCCGACCCAACATGACCATACGTTAACACACATTTCTAATGACCATTACTTTCAATGCGATATGCAGTCTACTGCAGAGCACAGAGAATGTTACTATTCATCGACCACGCCCACCACCGACGGAAGAGAAGGACGGCGTCCGTCAAATTATAGCGAACTGGTTCGACAATCACAGGCCCCTATTGGATGATCCAAACACCAAAGGAGGTGCTGTTCTATCTGCGCTATTCCCTCACCGAAGGAAGGATCGAGTGTACGGACTCCACACGCCTCTACTAGCGAGGAAGATTACGAAGCTTCTCAATTTCAATCATGGCCAAAGAGCATTGTTCGACGGATGGAAGACGGGCAATCACGGAGATCTGGGCGTATACACCGAACGAGCGATGAAACCTTGGGATGGCACCTTCTCCTCAAAGCATTCAGTCTCCATTAGGAGAATTGATAGGCTACTGACGCAACTCGCGGCCAAGTACAGATTCTCTGATGCAGCGATTCGGCAGCAGCGAGACCGGGAAGTGAAGACGGACGAGGAGCTCAAGGAGATTCTCGTACGACTGGAGTCATGGGAAGCCAAGTGGTTGGTCCGTCTCATACTTCGAGATTACTGCACTATTGCGCTGGACGAAGACTATGTATTCGGGCAATACCACTTCCTGTTGCCAGGTCTTCTAATGTTTCAAAACGATTTCGACGCAGTGTTTAGAATGCTCCGTGGAGAGCTCAGCTGCTACCCTCCTGCACCTGGAAATTCGGAGGAGAGATCGATGCGAGTGGAAGCGGCGCAAAAATTGAAGCCAGTAGTCGGCATCAAAGTTGGACGTCCGACCTTCAAGAAAGCATGGTCATTCAAGCATTGTTTTCAAATGCTCAGCAACCACGCTTGGGCAGCCGAAAACAAGTATGATGGGGAATATTGCGAGATCCACGTCGACTTGAAGAAAATGCCACAGGCCATCAAGATCTTTTCGAAGAACGGCAAAGATGCGACCTCGGACCGTGAAGCCCTACACACTACTATCCGAGAAGCCCTGCGTATCGGTCGTCCGGACTGTGCTTTCAGATCCAAGTGTATTGTGTTGGGTGAAATGGTGCTCTACAGCGACAAAGAAGAGAAGACCATGCCCTTCTCCAAGATTCGAAAGCACATCTCACGCTCCGGGTCGTTTATTGGCGCTCTACAAGACTCGCTACCCCACGAGTGGGAACACCTGATGATCGTATTTTTCGACGTCTTGGTGCTAGATGACGAGCCGGTCCTGCGTCATTGTCTACAGGAGCGCCGCAGCCTGCTTAGAGACCTAGTCCAGGTCAAACCGGGTCGCTCGATGCGCTCAGAGTGGTCCCTGCTCGACTTCAAGACAGGGGACGGCATCACAGACCTCAAGGAGATATTTGCCCGAAATCTTGCTAGTCGCCAAGAAGGGCTTGTATTGAAACCACTTCATGCACCTTACTTCCCGCTGTTATATGTACAGGGGTATCGGCGACCAGGGTACTTCATCAAGCTCAAGAAGGATTACCTGGGCGATATGGGCGGAGAACGCGATCTAGGCGACTTTGCAGTCATCGGTGCAAGCTTCGATGCGCAAGTCGCCCCGAAGTCAGACTTGAAGCCCTTGCACTGGACGCACTTCCATCTAGGATGTTGTGCGAACAAGGTCGCAGTGCAACGAACAGGCGCCAAGCCCATGTTTGAGGCAGTCGCAACTGTAAGTCTAGATCAGTGTATACCAAAGTCAGATCTCAAATACCTGAGCATCCATGGTTACGTGCGGCAAGCAAACTTGCATGAGGACGGCTCGACAGACAACTTCGGCATCAAAGACTCCAAAGGATATGACCGCCGTATGACGACAGCATTCAGAATACCATTCGTCGCAGAGATCCTGGGTGGTGGCTTCGAGAAGCTGCAAAATGGGACTTTCGAAATGTTGCGCCATCCTCGAGTCAAGAAGCTGCACAATGATCGTACTTGGGAAGACTGTGTGACCCTCGAAGAGCTCGAGGAGATGGCCGAACAGAAGTGGGATGTCCCAGACGCGGACCGGCTCGATGGACATGCTAAGGATGTCGCATTGCTGGTCTCAAAGTATGTGAGAGAATCGCAGATGACCTCTTCAACATACAGAACAACGCAGGACACGTCACCGACAACTTTCCGCAGAGCTGAAGCCTTGTCAAATCCAACACCGTCAGATGCCGTTGTTCAAGAAACACAGCAGCCAACACTCAACACTTACACAACCGCATCCTCTAGTACGCACTACTCCGGTAGCACACAAGGCGCGGGGACTCGAGCCTCTCGACAGGTTCGAATCCTTGTCCGCGAAGACACTGCCGAGCGTCTTGCTCTCGCAACGCCGCTCAAGCCTCCACCACCCGCACCATCAGTCGTATCACCAGGACTGCTGGCTTCTCCATCAACAGCACCATTACTAACATCACACCGACAATCTACCACATTTCTCTTGCCACCATATTTAACTGCGCCAGCACCTACTATAAGCAGAAAACGCGACCTTGCTCAGGTTGTTGACTTTGTCAGCCCGCCTGCAGTTAGGAGGCGCTTCAAGAGTCGCACTCCACTGAAAGATTTTGGTGCCAACGGGGCGAGGAGCCTGGGTGCGTTCGATTACGATTCACAAGAGGGAATTATTCATATATATGCAAAAGAAGGATTGACGGTCCATGTACATACAGAATTTGAGAAAGTGGAGAACACGGCGGGAAAGGAGTAGCGCATCGGTTTTCAGGAGGCGGAGGTTGGTTGATAGGAAGACACCCCAAGTATAGATTAAGTTCAAATACCGCTGAATTCACATTAGCATCACCGATCGTTCCCAGCCGTTGGGCGACCCATACACGGAAGACAAACAGCCATATGGACGGTGAACATGCTATGCAGCATTTACAGAATTGCAAATGATCAAGGGCTAATCTTAGCATAAGCCGGTCTCACCAAGGGCTCAGAACTTCACCTCCCCTCTCACTTTCTCTTTGACATGTTTTAACTCTACCAATACCTGCGGCCGCAAGGTCACTGTCGATCGATCCTTTGCTCTCTCACCTTTTCTCACTTTCACTCACGCCCCACCCATCCTGGCACTCGCTCCTCGATGTAAGAAGGTACACTCCCCATTGCCACCATCACCTCATACACATTACAACTCACTCCATATTCAAACAACCTTCGACGACCTTCGAAATGCCCTTCACCGCCACCCCCCTCCTCGTCTCCGCCATCGTGGGCTCCGTCACCACAAGCCCCACGCCCACATCACCCTCCAACCCAGCACTACGCACCGACGTGCAAGCCCTTATCGCCGCCGCCAACCTCACTGTCCCCTCTACCTCCGACGCCAACACTCTCGCCCAGATCGGCTACACTGGCTCGACATCCATCCATGCTGTCGACCACAAGAACTGCGGCAAGTACATCAAGGGCGGCTGGGACTTCGACCTCAACGCCAATCCGAACTGCGCGGACATTGAGAAGTTCGAGGTGATGAAGCAGGTGTATAATGACAAGTGTGGGCTTTGCGTAGTTTTTGAGTAAGTGTATCTATCCATCTCTCTAGCATTGTGTTCACACATTGTCCCAAACCACTCCTACCACACCGCTCTCCACTCAGCTCGCTTTCCCGCAATCTCTTCCTTGCTCCAGTCACTCCTCTTCTCTCCACCGTCTCCTCTTCTCTCCACCGTCTCCTCTTCTCTCCACCGTCTCCTCT